AAGAAAGAATGGGAAGTACCATCGATTTGTACATGTTCAATCTTTGGTGCCAGTGGAGACGTCTAGCAGAATTTCTCTCTAACATTGAGAGCACTCGATTGGATTTGCCGCAGATATATGTGATATGCTCGCTCCACTTCAAGCTGGTCGAAATGATAATTCCGAAGTCTTTTTCGGACGAGACAGTTTTCAGTTTTTCGTTATACAAAATCAGAGAGCTGGGGCAGCTTTTCGTGAAGGAGAGGAGGTGACACTTATCCATGTTGAAAACCATATCGTCCAAGTCGCACCACGTTTCCAAGAGTCGTAGATCTTGTTGGAGAAGTGAAGTGAAGCTTTTATCTCGAATTGACAATAACTTGGTATCATCAGCGAATAAGAAGGGTAGAGACAACAAGCCGATCACGTAGATTAGAAATAAAATAGGACCAAGGATGGATCCTTGGGGAACTCCACTAGTGACTTACAGGAAACCGGCCGGATGTTGCTTCGCCTATCTGAACATATTGCTTCCGACCAGATAGATAACTCTTGATTATTTTCAGCAGACTTCCTCCTACGCCAAGATGCTGAAGCTTCTGGATAAAAATACTGTGATTGAATTTGTCAAAGGCTTTTGAGAAGTCTATATACACTGTTTCAAAAACAATGTCAGTGTTCAACACGCCTTTATAGATGTTGTCAATGAAGGTCAAAAGTTGTAATACAGGCGATTTCCGCTTCTGGAAGCCAAATTGACACGGAGGAATGCGATCGTACACAAAAGCAAATAATGAATCAAATAGCAGTTCTCGAACACTTTAGATCAGATGTTCAACAATGTAATGGGTCGATAGTTGGTTACATCTGCTTTTGATCCTTTTTTGAAAAGAGGGCTCATCTTTCCAACTTTCCACTCGTCCGGAAATACACATTATTGTTGTATTTTATAGAAGAGTTTTGATAGAGACAGTGAAAGTTCAGGTACTTCTTTGAAAAGAACAGCCGGGAGTTGGTCGGGGCCACGTGACTTCCTAACATCCAGTCCCACGAGATTTTGGTTTATTTTGAACGGGGAAATGTCGTAGTCGGTTAGAACAGGATTACTAGGAGCTTCAGGGCGCGTTGACGCCGGTGAAAACACGGAGTTGAAATAATTGAATAGTTCGCATTGATAAGTTGCGCTCTCAGCAGTCTGGTTGCCCCAGTGAATCTTAGCTGGAATTAGCGAGCAACTGTTCGGCGACTTCAAATATTTAAAAAGATGCTTAGTGCTCCTGCCTTCAACAAGTTTGGATTCATAATCGGCTTTGTCAGTTTCAAGAGCATTTGACAAAACTGCTTCTGAGTTCTGTATCTTCTGAAATATGGTACCGGATGGTTTAACGGCGCCTTTCGTCTTTAAATTTTTCAGTTTCTTCATCAGGTGGGACGATTTTGGTGAAACCCAGGGAGGCAAAGTAACTCGGTGCGACGTCTTGAAAGGAATACAGCGTAACATCAGTGGTGCACGCAACCATACATGCCATTCCTCCAGCAACACATTCGGATTCGTCCAGCACTTTCCAACGAGAGGAAACTCGGATATCAAGGCGGAGAGACTAGCATAGTCGGCATGTGCAAAGCTGAAGCGCAGCATAGGTGTTAAAAGGGGATCTTTTTCTGACACGGAAATTGCGATAGAGATGGGATAATGATCAGAAAACGGATAGGAACTAAGGACAGTATCATCAATGCTCACTGAAATGATAGCGTCTGGAGAGGAGACAGCAACCACGTCTAACAACTTCGAAGACGTTGTGTTGAAATCAACTACATGCAACAGGTTGAATCTGCCGAGAAGCCTAACGATATGCGATTCATAAGCATCGTCAGAACTGAGTGTGTCCCAATCAATTCCAGGCAGGTTGGCATCACCAATAATCAAGATAAAGTCTAGAGGATATTTAACTCTCGTGAGTTCTGAAAAGATAGATTCCCATTTATCTAAGCTCCATCGATACGAGCTATTAGCATGAGGATTGTAATGCAAACCAAGAGCAAAGAGAAGCTTGTGAGGGTAACTCGACAAGCTATTACGTCCATAGTATCATTTACGTTAAACCTTAATGGGGAATGCAGAAGAAAGCTGGCTATACTAATGAGAACACCACCATGCTTGGAAACTCCGTTGTGTGCCGGTCGTTCACTGCGATTTAAACAAAACTGAGGTAATTGACATTCGGCGTCATTAAAATCGGACGTTAACCAGGTTTCAGACAGGTAGAGAATGTGTGGCATGGATAAAATAACGGACTTTGCGAAAGAAGTGCTTCTGTCAATTGAGCTAAGACTGCGAACGTTAAAAACCAGAACTTGCAGGGACTGTAGTCAATCGGTTCTGCTGCCAATATTATTATCATCAAGTTTAACATCACTCAGATTGACTGGGTTGTCGTCAAGAAACAGCTTTAAAGACCGCAATTTGAGACGTCAAGAATTGGTTCCACTTAACAGCAGCTCCCGACGCTTGTACAGGCACGCATTCTCTTGCTCACGGTTGGCCTTGCTGAGCCGAAGCTTCTCAGGTGTGAAGATTTGGCGAGGATTTTTCGAACACCGTAGACACTGTTCAGTGTCACGAGAAGGGTGCGGGGTCTGCCTTGTTGAGCTTGCCTAGGCGTACAAGATCGCTGATTTGTGGTGTTTCTGATAAGTGATCGAAAACTGCCGAGACAGCAGTATGTTCACAGTCAATTAATTTAGCGGGAGATTTATTGGGAAACTCTTCAATGCCGTGAATGCGTAGTTGGTGAGGAACGGTTGCTGACTCGTCCATATGGCGCTTGGGAATACTCGCTGTTGGCGGAGTTGCGAGATTAACAGGTATGCTTTCAACCGACTTAGAGTTTTACCACATCAGAGTAAATGGAATGACAATTTTCGTTCATAGTTTTCTCCATTTTGGGAAGGCTGGATGTCAGGTCTGAGATGCCCGAGGAGAGAGATTTGAGATCGTCAGCCATCGCAGCTTCCTTGTTCCAAGAAACTTTCAGTTGGGAAACACTCGCCCTGACCAGGCATTTCAAACTATCTTTTGGTAAACTAGATAACAATCTGTTAATATCGTCGTCAATCGCCAAAACTAGTTCACTGATGGTCGGATAATAATCCTTTGTTGGTAAGCCCCGCGCGCTGCTTGGGCCGGGCATTGCAGTCTAAAGATACAAATTTCTGATGCGCGGTAAAAAGGCGGAATTGAAATTGGTATTGCAACAAAGCGACAGATTAAATTGATTTTGACAGGTTATTAATTAAGCCAATTTGTAATTGAGCGATAATGGCCAACGAAAGTGTAGTTTGGAAAGCGGCCCGGTGGTCTACTAGTAACGTCTTGCGTTATCCTCGGGTGTCAAGCGGTTAATCGCGGTTCGATCCCCGGGAGGGGAAGTTTTTTGTTTTTTTTGTAGGCAGAATCGAAGAAACTTAAACTTGTATTTTTTCTTCCAGTTCCAGCCGGTTATCGGGTGACTCGATCCATTTCGTCTGAGACTATTTAATAAGTTTACGTTCATTACTCTTTAAAATTTTCTTCATAGAAGAACGTTGGGAAAATTTCATGTTACGCCCAAATACATACCACGATACATATCAGAAGCGTATTAAAAGTAGATTGCGTAATTTGAAAACTAAAGCGGCAGAGCTTATGTCGACAGCCGAAAACCCATCAGTAGAAATTTAATATCAAAATTCTATAATTATACATACAATAGTTTGAGTTCTAGATATAGCATGCAGTAGTTACTAGTACCCAGCCTTAATAAGTGAAAATCACTTCAATCTCGTATTCATAAGAAAGAAAATTACCAAAAAGGAATTGGTAATTGCACAACAAAGATAAAACGCAAATTTCAAATACAACAGATTTTTAAAAGGCAACCATACTCAAAATACTTCTAGTGAACTTAACTTCCAGCGGATTCGAGACCTGCAGAGGCTTTCAGAAAACAAAATCAATCACATTTTTTTGCACTTTGGGTATCCGCCTTCTTTTCGGCAATGGAATTTGAAATCAAAAACCAAGCCACGAGAAAATCAAATTTGAGCAAATGCAACAGAAATTTTTGTGAAAAAAGGGGAAAACGAACTCGACTTAAATAAGTGTCTACACTTTGTCCATTGACACTTAAAAGGGCATCAAGTCGTTGGTTCCACGATACATACAACTGGAATACAGCCCAAAACCGACTACGCTACAAAATCATGGCTATCACATGCAAACTTGACCACAATATATGCCCCAATAAAACCTATTTTATCAAGCAGATATAACGGATGCTGTTTCAATCCACTGAGCAAAGAAATCTGTGAACTTATTTGTTAAAAATACCTCGTACTGTAACAAGCTCCGGCTAATTGAACGAACGCTAAAAAATTTCAGCTATATGACATACTTACTGAGCTCGTTTAGCACCAATAACCAATTGGCGTAGAGCATTACCGCTTAGCATCAATAATCGGTGTTATAAAAACCAGCGGACCATACGTAAGTGTTATATAATAGTTATGAAACAATTATATAACAGTAACGAAAGTTATGCAAATTCATTCATATGATGCAATTTCTTGCTTGGCTTACATACTCCGCGCATTTTCGGTTGGTTTATACTTCGGCTGATTTATTCACTCTCCAATAATCAAGCTGAATAACCATGTGACTAAAGCAATACCTCTGGATTGATAAGCTATGCATCAGCTGATATCATCTGAATGCTTCTAATTTTAAGATCACGCCTAATTTGGCTCAACTTATAGAAACTTTATTGGAAATATTCTTTTAAAAAAATAAATTTTGCTGTCTATTGATTCATGGGTAGACAATGAGTGGGAATTTATAAATGCCAGTTGTCAGACCTCTTCAAGATGCTCATATTATATTGATGTTAAAATTACTTCTGTTATTTAATCTGTCTTAAACTTGCTTATTATTTAACAAATTGGAGAAATAAATAAATCATCTTCCTCTTTTTTAATGCACGTACAGGTATCCCGTTCACATTTCCCAAAACAGATCTGGTCCACAGAACATTGCAGTCCGCGTAGGGTAGATTTTGGAATGGGGTCACCATTTGACCTTCAGGGGTCACGAAGCAGTTGGAAGAAGTAGAGTCCTTATTCTGAAACACCTCTCAAATCAAAAACATAGACATCAGACACAGTAAGAAAAGAGTTACGGAAAAAGAACAAGACAAAACAATATCCAAAGCATTTTAAAGAAAAACAAGGATAGTCAGTTGCTGAGCAAGTAGCGCAGAATATTCCGACCACATTCGTAAAAATTAATTTTTTTTTTCAAATAAATGTTATTTTGATGAGAAAACTATCAGAACCACGACTGAAAGAGCTTTAATAAGATATATCACTCAACATACTCTTATGATTGTTCGTGGTACCTGATTGAGTATTAAAAAAAGAAAAATCAAACACCCGAAGACGAAGTTCCTCCCCATTTTCGCTGTTCGGAACAAAAATATATTAAAGAACTCTCTGAAAGTCAAGATTTTTTTGGCGGACACGTTAATTTGATACATTCAATTACCCTATTTGAGAAAATTGAATCCGTTTTCTCATATTTAAATCAGTTTCTCAATCCAAAAAACATAGGCAACAGACAAGTGGAAAAAGTCAATATACGCAAGAAAGTAAAAAAAAAACGTTAGAAAATACCGTTTGAATTCTCGTTAAAAAATTTGAACGTAGAAAAATTCTCATAATTCTTTTCAAAAACAGCGCTCGAAAAAACATGAAAATCGACGCACCAAAAAGTGGGATAAAAAAGCGCTAACGAAACTTGATAGTTGAAAACCAACTTAATTAGTTTAAAATCAACTAGAAATGCCGTCTTTGAATGATGGAGCCGACATGCCGTCTATACAGCTGCGAATGACACTACATTAGTCTCCCCAGACAGGGGTGCGCCGAAAGCGGAGTAGCTTAAGGATAAGACAAAATCATTGTGATTTAAAAGTAATCAAACATAACCAACAAACAGTAAAGCAAAGAACGCAAAGCAAAGAAACAGAAAAAAAATACTTCCGAATTTCAAACCAGCAAATATATAGCCAAGAGCAGTTATTAATTGGCTTTTTTGGATAAAACAAACCAAATTAGAGAAAACGGTATTTCTGGGAAAAAAAAACTTTTCTTCCACTGGGAAATCTAATAACTAAATTCCACTATCGTAACTAGAAATCGATCACGTTTTTTCGCGCCATATCAGCTTTCAGCTTTTATAGGCAAAGCGGAGTCAAAACAGTAAAAAAAATGAAAAAAAAAAATTCTAGGTGGAACAAAAATCTCGATGAAAAACACTCAGGGCTCAGCTAAAGCTGGAGGTACGTATTTGATAATTTTTGACTTTTTTATAATGATGCGGGATAAAACCCGTAACTTCAAAAAGTTAGGCTCTGCCCAAAAGCTTAGTTGTTTCTCTGTAAAAATAAGTGAGATGAGTGAAATTCTAGAATTTTCCCAAAAACCTAGCCTTTATTTTAGCAAAAAAAATAAGGAGTAGCCGCTTCTGCAGGAAAAACTCGCGCAACTGCTCCTTTCGATTGAAATTTTCATCTTAGATTTGATAGGGTAATTTATATAAAAAAAAGATTCTATTAAATAATCAAAATCAAAAATCAGTAATTATTTTCCTGCTAAACGCAGGTCGTGGCCGGTAAAGTAGGGAAAATTACCAAAATTGTGTATTCTGAGAATTGGCAAGTAACTTTCGAGTCGAGCAAAAAAAAACTACCAAAAAACGGTCCAATTTTCAAAACTTTTTTCTAAAAGAAACTGGGCTTATAAAATTTTAAATTTAGGCTTCCAACAACCTGTTGTGTCAATTCAACCTATGATATCAGTTTTGGCAGGATATTTATCGAGAAAAGACCAAAAACGGTCAACTTAGAGAGTTGACATTTCCAAGAATCATAACTTCGTTTTTAAAAAATTGGCCGTAGCCGCATGTAGAAGAGATTCATCCAATCTGTTATTTCGATTGAACGCAAAAACCTAGATTTGGCCGGTAGTTCTCGAGAAAAGTAAAAAAAAAGGTCAAAAAATTTCCGAGGGCCATATTTTTTTGTATAATACCAAAGGAGCTTCCCACAACCCGTTCTTTGGATTGCAACCAAAATCTCGTACAGAAGGGTCTTTTTCGTTAAATTCATAAAGATTTGGAAAGCTAAAAAAAATTGACTTTTCCGAGGACGACAACTTTTTGTGTACAAAATTGTGAGTGGCACCGCTAATGCAGGGGAGCTTCTCACTACCCGTTATCTCCATACAATCCACAACATCTGGTTTGGGAGATCAGTTTTTAAGAAAGATTTGAAGATTCAACAAACGGTAAAAAAATCAGAAATCAAAAACAAAGACTATTCCGAGGGCTATAACTTTTTAAGCAAAAAAATTGGGCATAACCGATTCTGGAGGCGAACTTAGTCTACATAATTGCTAAAAGTGATGCAAGCCAATTATGACGCATTAGCTGTACAGTCAACTTGAAAAAGAAATTACCAAGTTACATGCCTCAATTTATAGAGCGGACGGATTTTAATTAGTATACGAAAAAGTTCACTAAAAACGTCCGACCATGTCCAGGTTCGAACCCTCTTGTTTTGAAGCTAAATAGCTATTTGTAATATACTAATCCATGTTTATATACTTAGCATTGGCCGTACTTAATAGCTGGTTATTGATCAAAATGAAAAATTTCTAAATGAACACATTTAGTCGGAATAATATTTGCGTCGTAAAAATATTTGCGACTTAGGTTGGAAAAAAAAAGAAAGTTCATACTAGACCACAAGCGTTGCTTGTCTAAGAACCTGTTTTCATCAAACAGGAACTCTAGACAAACATGCCAAGCAACACACTTGAAAGTCAAATTAGCAACCGGAAAAAAAGTACGAAGCGGAAACAAGGCCGACAATATTTGCACAGGAACCAGTTGAGCCGAAAAAAAAAACGTATTATGTAAAATTTCAAGTCCCTCTTGAACTACCCTGTAGTAACTAGTACCTAGACAGTAGTTAATTTTGAATTTTGGTGAAATTGAGAATATCAGCTGAAGAGCATGCCAGGTGAAAAACATGTCAAGTGATTCAACTGATTTTGTTAAAGGAATTGTTAAACATAGCCAATCGAGGATTGGAAAAAGAGTATTGAACGCAAAAACAAAAAAAGACTTTCTTAAAAAATCTCAACTTTCGAATTTCAGAAAAATAGATGCCCTTCAAACTCCTTGGATTTCTGGAACAATTTATGATCGGCGCTTTTTTGATAACATGAACCCAACTTGAGAAAACTGGATCTATTGGTAAAGTTATTATTCCGCTGGGAAATCTTAAAAATAAATTCCACTTTCGAAACTAGAAATCGTTCACGTTTTTTTTGCGCCATTTCCACGTTCGTATTTGAAGAAAGCTATTTATGTCACTTTCAGCAGATGAATTTCAATTGAACTCAAAAAGTGCATTATACCTAAGTGCACCAATATTTTAAGACTTTTTCCTGAAACAAAAAATTAGCAAGACCTACATAAGAGTCTTCACTGCGTTCATTACTCTTAATTAGAAAAAGGTCTATATTCCAGTTTGATAATGTTTGCTAATCGCAAGCGTAATAACTCCATCAGTTATGTTTTTGAAATCATCTCACCACTAATTTATTCGAATTAGAAAAAGTGGAACCGTGAAAAAAATGCTCTTTTCTAAGAATAACTGCCACAGCAGCAGTGTAAAACTAGAAAAGACCTTTGAAACGTAGTGAAAAATATATACAGAGACAAAGCTGCACTTCGCAAACACTAGCGAGCTCACGGCAAAAAGCAGCTCTATATAGATCAACAAGAAAAAGTCGATATAAGCCTCAAAATAACAAAAATTCGACTACGTCTCGCAGTCGATCTACGACCAAGAGACTATGAGTCTCCAACGCCTAATCACTCAGTCACTGACGCTTAATAAATCACAAACACTAGCCACAAATAAAGCAGAGAACACGTGCTATGACACTTTCAATGCTACAGAGCGTGATGAACACTTTTATTTGCGAGTTAGTTAGAAAAAAAAGAAGGTTCGTACCAATACACTTCGCTCGCAAGATCGCAAGTAAGATTTAACCAATGATTTACACCTGAATTCTTCATTCACTATTAAAAACATGAAAGTAATTAATTAACTTTTTGAAGCAATTCAAATCACGAAGTAAAAATTTCAATATGATCTCCCATTCCGCCTTGATTCTTTGTGGTCCTTGCTACTTCTTAAAAGAACAGTACCATTTAGATAGTTGCTTCCCATTTTCAAAGTTAAAACAGATCTCTTTAACAAGATCCCCCCTCGGGTTCCTAGTAACGAATATCTCCCCTATTAAGCAATTAATCAGCGATTTACCATATGACAATTTTATACCTAATAACGATCTCCCCCTTTTGCAAAAGGGGGATATAGTTAAGAGATTTTTCATTACAAACAATTCAGTTTGGCAATGGAAATCTAAAAACACTTCATGAATTTACCGTCAGGGCAGCTGGAACAAGGAACTTCGTGTATGCTTCCACGCAAGCACTGATCAAATTTGAACCATCTGGAGACGTAGCAGTAGAATGTAGGTAGTTTCCTGGAAGGCTGAAAGTGGCAGTGTTACAGCTGGGTTGAGAAGGAGAGGGAATTATCAGTCCTCCTGTGTCCCCCGTTGTGATGGAATAAGAAGGAGAGGGGGCGCCATAGTCTGCAAAAAATACATCTTCATACAAAAATAATTAGAAAAACTTTTATACCAGCTTAAAACTTCCCCAAATGTTATTTCACCGGTTGGAGGGCTTCCAATAGCATCCGGCTCCTCGTAGGAACGACTTCGAAGAAATGGATAAGCCCCTTATTCGAACATCTAAGAAAAGATCGTATTTGTTCATGATGAGGACCTGCCTACTAGCATGCGTGCCGCTTAGCATGCGCTTTTAGCACTAGAATTGAGTTTGTTCCATCAAAGTATGGAACTGTTTTAATTGCACATGCTAAGCGGCACGCATGCAAGTCGCTACACCCCAGTTCATGATTCAGGGGCGGATCTAGGATTTTTTCGAGCCCCCCCCCCCCCCCCCCCCCTCAAAATTAGTATATATTGGCACTGAAGGCGCTTTTAGAAAATTTTTAGGGTCCGTTGCCAAAAAAATGGATATCTCAAAATAGTACAAAATGGGCACTTTGGGTTGGCAAGGGATCGATTCCCTGAGAGGGGGCGTCGCCCCGGCCTCCCTAAATCCGCCCCGTTCATGATTTACACAATTTTATAACGCTTGCCAATCGCAAGAGTAACAAAAAATAAGCAAGCGCTAAGAGGGAATATATATTTTTTTGATCGATCTGCAGATATGCGGAAATGATTGAAACGCTCAAGAAATGTTATTTTGCTCACCATTGTGACATATAGGACTGTTGGTCATCAAATTGAAGTTCCGAGACCCCAGTTTGAACCTCATTTCAGATGACAATAAACTACCAATCCCCCAGCCACCTGCTGTACCTGAAAGGGCAATTAATAGCAAATTATTATTATTATTTTCTAACTTTTATTTAACTATTTTCACCCCAATAGTACTAAAAAATATCCGAATTAAAATCAAATTAAATTATAAAAGTAACTGTGAACTGATACATTTAATCAGCTTGATTACTCTAATAGCTAACCTGTTTTAATGACGGAGCAATTTCCACTGGATGAGCTGCTACAAGTGGTTGGTAATTTTTTCCTACGTTTGCAGCCGCCTCGTTTTCGGTTTTCACGCACGGCTGAAACAAAAAAAAAAAACATTTTTTTTACCTTGAGTGAATTTTTACCAACCAAAATTGCGTGAACTTATTAACGCACAACTTTGCAGCGCAAGATGATCAACTTTCGAAAAGCTTAAACTTAAACTCACTTTCAGTCGTGAAATTTCAAAAAACTTTGTCACCAGTGCCTACAAAAAAGTGGCCAGGAAAATTTTGTTTTTCAGAACAATTTAGACCAAAGTAAAGCTAGAAGAGCGAATTAGTTAGTTAAGACGATTTATCCACAAGGTAAAGGACCAACTTACGAGCTGTTCAGCTCTCATGGAAAACCGCTGTTTGCCCGAGGTTAAGATTTGAATGCAATTTTTATGGCTATTTTTCTGTGCTGGGAAATGTTGCCTCACCCTCAAGCAACGAGCACGGATTCTGGTGGGCCTCGAACATCCGTCCTTTCGATTGAGAGGCGGAGACGTAACCACTTCACTACCGCTACCAAAATTAAACTGATTATTTAGCTTAAAATTTGCGTACATTGTTTTAACTATTATTATTATTATTATTACTATTTTGCTAGTGAGACCAGCTGTATTGTAATCGGTACGAATTTCTTCAGAAAAAAAACTTTTTTTCGGTAAAAAACTGACAAATCTGCAGGAAATTGACCTTGCTGTAATATGAGATCTCAATAGCTTCCAGACCTCGTCCCCAACATATCTAGTGAAAAAGCGCGTGCCTTCGAGCCCCAACCGCACATTTTTCGCTAACATAGTTTCGGCTGAAGTTATATCAACTTAAATTGCGTAATTTCAAGGGAACAATTAAACTCTTAATTTGGTGTTTCTAACGTGAGATGGGGCGTACACCGACCGTTTCAAAACTTGATAGCTCAAAATTTTAACACTATATTTTCTTCAACTGAACATCATTCAAGAAAAACGTATGAAATTTATGTAGATGTTGTTTTTTCGACACTTTTACTTTCTTTTCGAATACGTTTTTGGACTTTGCGTCTTCCATTACCTTTTCTATTCCCGTAACCTTGCAATGTTTTTTTTATGTGTATCGCAAGCGTTGCGAAGCTTCGCTTCTCTTTATTATCGTTATAGTTATAATACAGAGGAGAATCATTGCATGCTAGCGAATAGAAAAAGAGACGAAAATAATCTAGCCGCAATGAAAAAAAAAACATAGCCAATAGACAGTTGGAAAAGAGTCAATGAACGCAAGACTGACTTGATTTTTTTTATACATTTCTCAATATTGCATTTTCACAAAAACCAGCCCTAAAGCTTTTTGAATTTATAAAATCAACACAATTTGAGAAAACTGGATCATAAAATTTTTTCTTTCGCTGGGAATTCTGAAAATTAAATTCCACTTCCGAAACTAGAAATCGATCGCGTTTTTCGTGGCTTCTATAAGTTTGCTGATCGATAGCGTCGAAAATCAAAAGCAAAAAAAAATGAGCCTGAACAAATTTTAATACTTTTTCTAAAAAAAAAACAATAAATAATCATGACCTATGTAAGAGTCTGAACTACGTTCATCAACTCTTAAAAAATTAAAAATTTATTGAAAGATTCAATTTCAGAAAAACAATCGAAAAGCAAACAAAAGAAGTGTTGTAGCAAAACATCTTAATCTTAAAGCTAATTCAAAACAAGACAGGGTTGCTTGTTGCAGAAAATATCAACTGAGAATGCATGGTGCTGTTTTTTTCGGATGAATTTGTGTGCGTCTCAGTTACGGATGAGCTCAAGCGCAGCTTCCTTTGAAGCCGCAATTCAATTCATCAAATTATTCCAGATTTTCAGTTTTTAGCGCCATCTCATTTAAGGTCAAATAAATTACTCAAAACCAAGAAAAAGACTCAAAGGCGGTATTTTTTCAAATCAAGTGCCTTCTAAGGAGAGAAAAAATCTAATTCGCGTGAACTGGCTGCAAAAACGTGCAACGCAACAACAAGGCGGTTATCTAATTTTTTTTATTGAAAACTTTTTACAAATCAAGGTTAAAACGATAAGCAGTGGTTTTCTCATTGAACATTCCAACATATGAGGCCGATTCTCGGTGAAAAACTTCAAAACAGAAACAGATATTACTTACCCTTTCTCATTTTTTGCACACAGGATATGAGATTTCACTTGACCACTTTTCAAAACTTGAAAGCGAGTCCCACAACTTAATAAAACGCACACATTTGCTACTTGTTTACTAAAATCGAAGATCAGAAAGTACTTAAATTAGGCGACATATTTTGTAATTATTCAGTTTAAAAGCGCAAAGGCAGGTGCCTGAAATTCCATTTCCTGTTGAAGACCTACTCAGCATTCTCAGTAGACTCTTTGCTGTAACAGCAGATATCGAAGTTCTATAGCAACGAAATGCTTCTGATCACGAAGATCGAAAAACCCCATGCCTTGTTCTACGGTTTTATTTGACCCTACCAAATTATTAATTATGTTTGAAAATGAAGATATATATATGGGTAAAGTTTGACATTGAGAGATGGGTGTCTGTCTGGTGTTGTGCTTGATCGTCACAGATCGACAGTTTTTTTCCAAGGTCAAATGGCTTCTTTCTGCAACTTAATTCGAATTGAACTTCAAACACAGAGCCGAGGCGGAGCTTCGCAACACTTGCGATACAAAAAAACGGCGCATTACAAGATATAGAAATAGAAAAAAATGAAGCCCATTTATTGAAACAAAGCTGGAAAATTTTTTTTTTAAAATATTCAAAATCAGAGTTTGTAAATTTACAAACTGTGAGCAATTCTAATTATAGAAAAAACCTTTTGAAAAAACCCAAGCTTTGAAAAAAAAACTGCTTGAAAACCGTTCTGGATTATCAAAACTGCATTTGGAAAAAAAAGACCGAAGAAGCAGCCGACAGAAATTAGGACGAAAACCACTACTCTGAAAAAAAAATTTAAAAAATTGTCTACTACCTAAAATGAAATAAGAGGTAATTTATTTGAAATAGAGCATGTCAGCCTGCACACGTGAAAGCAACTGCAATAATTGCACGCATGTCTTCAATTTTTAATATAAGTTCTTAACGGGGAAAAAAGTGTAGTTCCCGATTACAAGTCACTTGCTCTCGCAAGTTAAGAGGAATCAAAAGTTAAAACTCTAAAATTCAAACTTGAGCGTGATCAAATTTTTAGACATTTTCCTGAAAAAAAATATCACGAGCTATGTAAGTGTCTTCAGGGCAGTACAACAGAGCCGATGTACAGCCGTGCCGAACATCAAAAATTTGTTCAACAAAATCGAAAATTATTTTGAATACTGTTCTTACTCAACCCAAATCACTGACAAGTAATTATATACAAGGGGCGGAAGTTGAAAAGACAAAAATGGCAAACGAAAGTTCCACAAGCGCGACGTCATCCAATTTCCTGAACAAACATTTAACTCAGCAAACTGTCACATGCTCTTCTCGAAAGCGCTCCAAAACAAAAGAGTATTCATGCAAAACTGCCTACAATTCACAAAAATTCCCAAAAATGATCAATGTTTGAGACTGTTGAACACATTTACAGTTTTGAAAATGTTGTACTTCAGCACTGTTGAAAGCCACCGTGTCTTCGCTACGTTCATTCACACTTAATATCTAATATAATAAGCAGACTTTAGATTTTTTTATCTCTAATTTAGCTGGAAGAAAAAACTAACAAAGTATCTCACATGAAGTGAAAATCGCTTTATTCATAAGAACGAAGTTTTTTGACAAGTTTCACCTCGCACATCATTTAGATTGTCCACAAAAGATTCAGCTGACGCATTCTCTTTACATAGCTGAAACTCTTCAAAAAATGATGCTGCCAATGATTATTTAGCCGTCCCTTTTACCGCTATAATTAATTCTCAAAATTAATCAAGAGCAAAAAAACAACAATAGATTCTATTGACACTGAAAAGAAAAGAACGTCTCACAAGAGCTTTATTAGCTTCTATCCACAAGAGCATTCAGTACGCAATTAATTAGTTCAACTTCAACAAACGTATGGCAAAATGCCGATTTTTTTTTGCTTAGAAAAGAGGCAATGATATGACGAGCTTGATTTTAAAAAGAAGGAAACTCCTCAGTCATTGCTGAAAATATATTTTTATTAAGTCATTCGTAAACAAAAATAAATCATGGGTAGGATAAAAAACTGCTATGCGATGGTTTAAATTTTTTTTTTTTTAAATCAATAAATTTGAAAGAAAAAGTTCAAGGAGTGACAATTTATTTAGGCAAGACATAGATACATATCCAATACCGCAGCTGTTAAATATATTTCATGCTTCAAAAGTTGGCCGATTGTATCTAGTATTTGAAAGTAAACCCAATTGAATACAGTGACCCTTTTTTCTGTTTTATACACTTCGTCAATGCCCTTCAATTGCATACCTGAGGATGGATATAAAGGATATAAACTTCATTTAATGATTAAAAAAATTTCACGTCGTGCGACTTTCAACACGGAGGCGAAGTTGCACTTCGGATATGCAAGCAAAAAAATGACCGATAACGCTACTGCCAAAAACTGAATGAGTAAAACTTTGAGTCTACAAAATTTCTGAAGTGACGCACGCCAATTATGTGTGAACATAATTGATTAGTGACGCAAGCTAATAAGGAAGCTTTAGCAGTACCAGTCAGTTTTTAAAAAAAGAAAGTTACCAACAAACATGCCTCAATTTATAGAGCGGGCGCAGTTTAACTAGTATACGAAAAATTCATTAAAAACATCCGACCCTGCCCAGGATTGAACCCTATTATTTGGTTGCTGGTCTCCTTCCCTACCTCTACGCTACAGATCCATGATACCTTGAAGCTAAAGTGCTATTTGCAATATAATAGTCTGTGTTAATATCCTTAGCATTGGCTGTACTTAAAAGCTGGATCAAAATGAACACATTTTGTCGCAACAATTGCATCGCAACAATATTTGCGACTTAGGTTGGAAAAAACAGATAGTTCATACTATAACACAAGCTATGCTTGTGTAAAGAAAAAATATAGAGCTGATTAGGAAAAAATAAATATAAATGCAAAAAATCCAACTTAATTAATTTCCTGCCACTCATTGAGATTTAATCAAATTGAAAAAGAGGCAAAAATACTACCAATATGTCTTTGTTATGATGTCATTTTTGACCATCAACGAGCTTTCTTTAGGATAGTCAGTATTAGCTATAACAAAAACTAAACAGTCAAGTGATCAAAAAATATGGGTGGATAATTTGGATATTCAAGTTAAAAATGAAAAATGCAGCAGCAAAGAAAAAACAGGTTGAAGCAAGTTTTTATAAAAATACTGCCAGCCCCGTGGACAAAACGAAGTACAAAACACAATGCAAATGAAAAACGCAATGTTTATCAGAAAAAAAAGATAAGAAAAACAGCCAAGGCGGATAGTAGACAATTATTTCAAAGGACAAAAAGTCAAAAAAAATTAGAATTGTTAATTGAGGAACTTAATTATTTTATTGAGTTTTTGTCGATAATAGGAAAGAAACTCCGATCCGTTTCAGCAAGGGAAAGCTCATATTAGATCAACACATTCACTCAATGTACCTCAAAAAAGTCACGGGTTCGATTAAAACTAAATTTAGTCTCGACTTCTATAGTCTAAATAATTAAGTAGGACATCTAAGAGTTGAAAACAAATGTTTTCCGCAAAAGAACTTCATTGAACACAGAGGCGAAGTTGCACTTCGCATACACAAGCAAAAATATGACCGATAACGCTTCTGTGAAAAATTAAATGAGTAAAACTTTGAGTCTACAAAATTTGTTAAGTGACGCCCGCCAATAATGACGCATTAGCAGTACGTCAATTTGCAAAAAAAAAAAATTCCAATTTACACGCCTCAATTTAAAGAGCACTAATGGAGCACTAATAACATGAAAAATTTAAATGTAACAAAATTAAAATGGAAATTTTTTTTAATTTAAGATTTTTGTGAAAATCATTTCCCACACGCCATATTACGTACAAAGTGATAAATTTCGCTCCTAGTAACAAATCAATTATCGCAAATAAGCTTCCTTCAACCAATTTTGAACAATTTCTTTAACGGATTAAATCTCCGCTTACGCGTTATAAGCGCGAAATATATCGCGCGTTAATTGTCCCAAATTGGCCAAAATGGCAATTTTTAAACCCCCATAACTTTACAAAAAAGGTCACAGGTGAAGTAACTTTGAAAACTTAAGCTCACGACAACAATACTTTTTGAATGATATTTAAAAAAAAATCCCGTCAAAAATGGCTAGTTAAAAAATCGAACTTTGTCTGAAGAAAAATAAACCAACCCGAGCACAAATATTCCGTTACTTTCGTTACCAAAGTCGTAACAAAAATAGCCTGATTTAAAATCCTTAGCAATGGCTGTATTTAATAGCTGGTTAATGATCAAAATGAAAACTTTCAAAATGAACCCATTTTATCGCAAAAATATTTGCGTCGCAACATTATTTGCGACTTAGTTTGGAAAAAAAAGATAGTTCATATTATAACACAAGCATTGCAAGTCCTGTTCATCTTATCTTCTATTCGATTCTGCAAATGAAAAAGAAATAAGCAAGTTAAAGGACGGAAGTTTTCAGGGTTGGGAAAGTTGCAGTAGCTACGTATATTATCTCTACAGATTCAATTCTTTCAATACTGCAAAAATGCTGATCTGTTATAAATTACCATCCAAAATATATAGGTTTTATAATGACTGCAACACGTTATGAAGTGAACAATTTCAATCACATTTTTTTGGAATGCTACATCATAAACAACGAGGAGCTACTTAGAAAACGTATCTTTAGTCTTCTCTAGTGTTTTCATTTTTCTAGTTTTTTTTCTAGTTTCGTTATTCTCCGTTTTGTTTTGACACACCCATTTCTTTTCAGCAAATTAATTAAATGGTTTTTTGATGTAATTGAAGTCAGCAATGAGACATTACTGTTCTCAAATCATGTTAGAAGAAAACAGTAACTCTTTTTTTTCCACTCAAAGACACCTGAAAACAGATCTGTAGATCCAATGGTGATCTCTCAGGCAGTTGTGAAATTGTAAGTTGTCATTTTGTGAACTTTTCTATTTACATAATGCATGAAAATATACATAATGCATCTTTCCAACTTCGTCGGCATAAAACGAAGCATTTTCAACCATAAAAGTCCTCTACGCCGACCATTCAATAAGCGTAGCGGAACTTCAACAGCCGTAAAAATCTGGCTAGTCTACTCAGTTGAATCATTCAACATTTAGTGATCTACTGCTTATTTGAAAAACCAATCTATATACAAAAACTAAGCTGCTCTTCGCATACACAGAAAAAAAAAGAAGAAACTATTTTTGTTAATAACGGAGATAACAATTGATTTTGAGCAACGAAAAGAATCGTTGAACCGAATTGTTAAAATTCTAAAACTATTCTTGATAGCGGTGGACACTTACAGGTGGTGAGCATTCCCAATGATATGCACTTGTTGAATCTGCAGGCGGCGCAGTTTCTTCTGCTCTGCTTTGTGACGGAGCACTCGCTAGTCCATTTACAAGAGTAGTTCTGCTTCTGCTGCACTACTCGACGGAAGAATCCCTTGCAACTCTCACAGCAGTCGATGCCATAGTGGTGCCTAATTCACAAAAGTATGTTAGATCTTTACAACACCGGTGATATATTACAATAGAAGGCAGGTTCACATTAAATAGCTGGATCGCTTTTTGTTATACTGGATCGCTTTTTGTTATACTTCGAACAGTATTTAGAACTTTTTTTCAAAAGCCAAATTTTTTGGTAAAAAAAGTGTAAAATTTGAACTTTTGAATGACATTTTATCTGGCAGAAAAATCTATTTAGAAAAACTATCGCAGTAGAATGTACAACTGGTTGAAAATTAAATGACTATATTATACATTAGAGTTCTCATATTCAATCCATATTCTATACTCAAAATTACCACCTATTGTGCACATATCACCCATTCCCCACCCCAATTAAAATTAGGGAAACATCACTACTATGTGCAAAACTCGCATATACTTAACCATTGATGTAGTTCATAGAAGTGGTTATGTCATACTAATCAGTTTTTTACGCTCTCAGAAAAAAATAGCCATTAATTGGAAAAGGGTCAAGGAGCTTCGTTATGTCTAATCAGCTATGTTTACTTAAAAAGGACACCTAATTAATTCAAAGAATTGTTAATTAAATGATTATAATTGACATCGCTTAAACTAAAAACGCCTTTTTTCACGCTCTCAGAAAATGACAATTTCTTTCCCTGTTTCCAGCTTCTCCTGCAAAGGGGAGGGGGACTCGCTAAAAAGTACAAATCCGAAAAAAGTGCAAAAAACTAGAATATATTCATTTTTGCAGTTCCATGCAATTTAAAAATAGATGTTCAAAACTCTATCATGGTAACAAAAAAGTGCTTCAGAGTAGTTAAATTCAAAGTTCATCTTTCAATATTTAAAGAGTACTTTAAATATTGAAAGGTGAACTTTGAATTTAACTACTCTGAAGCACTTTCTTGTTTGCTACCATGATAGAGTTTTAAAACATCAGTTTTTAAATAGCATGGAACTGCAAAAAATAAATATATTCTAGTTGTAAAATTGAAGATTAGAACTAATTAAAATTGATCAACAATACGAGCAAAATATGTTTTCTCTTTCAAAAAGTGCAATAGAACGCTACATAAAAAAAGTATAACATAAAAATCTCAATACTGAGCTTTAGTACTAAATTACTGTGAGCTACAGTGATACCAAGTTTAATTTCCCTTAACTGACATCGAACGTCGACCAGTTTGAGTTTACTTACTGTTTGTTTTAAACTCAGTTTCAATCGAAATTCAGTTCGATGGAGAACAGATAATGACAAGCTGCATCTTGAACTCATGACTTTACATCATTTTGAGTTCATTTTTCGCAGAGCTGATTCCCAAACACTTTCCACGATCCAAATCAACCAACATAATTAACCAACTGCCATTTTTTAAGTAAACGATTACATATTCCAAAATTGGTTTCAGGCGATAACTCATGGATTTACAAGGTCAAGTATCGAACGTTAAAACAGCCCCAGGTAAATTTATTTACTCGACAATTACTCGAATTTAGATCACGTAATCCGATTGTTATGAATGTTCCGACCATATTCTTAAGAAAAAAAATTTTTTTTTTTCGTTTTTTTTTCAAATTAGTGTTGCTTTTTTTGCGCGAGGTGTGATGAAAGGATCTGAAGAAAACCTAAAATTTAAGTACATTCGTCAGTCACTGTAAGATAGGCAAAGATGACTAGAAATGTTTTCTCTTTTTTTTATAGAAACTATTTTTACAATTTTGAAGTTTTTTATTCCAAAAAAGGCGCTAAAACACTCCAAAAAACAATTTTACTTAAGTTTCATGGCTTATCCTTTTATAATAAGCCAGTCGCTTGCTTTAATTGCTCGAAGTTAACATGAAAATCAAAAAGTTTGAAACCGGTTTTTCTCGACACTGGGACAACTTTCGAAAATTTCTAAATGTCGTTCGAATCAGGATTGATAGGGAGTTTGAATCAGGATTGTTATGTTATATGACTCAATCTATTCCGATGATTAATTGTGGTACGTGACTCTGTGTGGAAAATTTAAAAAAAAATAAAGAAAAAACAAAACACACCCGAATACAAAGCTTTTTCCCATTTTTCAAATGGTCGGAACATCAACCTTGTATCACCTTTAATTACTCCTTAAAATGTATCGCTCTTTCATCGAAATGTATCTCTCTTTCCTGAAAATGCATCTATCTAGATGAAGAGACGATAAAAGAGCCAGTATCCCAATTAAAACTCTTACCCTGTGGATACATCTCCGCAGACTGGACATGGGTCTGGCGGTAGTCTCCAACCCCTCTTAGCTGCGAATAAATTGGGACTGGCGAGGGGGGAGTCAGTCTGAATCCAGTTCTCAACTATCACACTCACTCCATTGTTAGCACCACTTCTACAAACAGACACAAAACATACACATTTATGTTTTAAAATCTACGGAAGCAATGGCTCTTTTTCAACGTCCCTAAGGTTTTCGTTAATCAAAATTCCCAAAACCAATATTTAAAATAATAACTGGTACCACATCTAAAAATAAACGAAGGTTGTAAAAGTGTAAAAGAACAAGACAACCGACAAAATGTTAATTGAAAATTATAAATCATTTTTCAGTTTCGAAGAAAACATATATGTTTGCTTAAAGCTCATTGAATTTCAAGAACTGTTTATGATTGGCACTCTTTCTTGAAATAAACCAAACTTCAGAAAACTGCAACATTGGGTTAACTATTATACCCCTCGAAAATCTGAAATTTATCATCAACTTTCGAAACTAGAAGTTTTTCATGTTTTTTGGCGCCGTTTCCGCTTTCGTAATTGGAGAGCGCACTTTATTTCCGATTTAGCCAAAGAATTTGAATTGTACTCAAAAATACATATACACCTAAGTACATGCATAAATACACTAATATGTACCATGCACTTCTGTAGATATTAGATCATTTAAGATTTTTTCTTGAACAAAAAATCAGTAATACCTATATAAGTGAAAATCACTTCGAACTGGAAAATAACACCTAAAAACACATTAGATACATGTTAAACTTCTAAGTTTGCAGAAGCAGCGGCTCATTCCCTGTCTCCTATTTGACCTTTTTTTGGAAATCTGATTGACGGAAAATCTACTTTAAATAACTTTAGCATAAAGAAAAGTGAGGATATGGCAGCTAAAAGACCTTTTGGTCTTCTACCAAAGCATTTTCCTCTTGAATACAAATTTATTAGATACATTTTGAAAATTTATTAAAGCATTGGCTCTTTCCAGTTTCTTGCACTTTGAGCTCTCTGAATTCCGACTTACGAAAGCCTATTTAAGGAGTTTGATGTTTTAAATCGCTTTTTAAAACAGTTTTGATGTATTAAAATATGCCAGCCTGAACAGCTTTGATCAAACTTCATTTCACGCAAACTGCTGCATGAACAAACATTATAAAATCTTTTATTGCGACTCTCCGCTTGCAGTGGGAGACTGGAAAAAAGCAGAATTATTTTAGAATATTTATAGTTAGTCGAACACATCCTGCGTGTGATACATAAATGTGGAGAATTGGGAAACTGCATGTAGGTTTCAACAGAACTGAAATTGTGATGGCCGTTAATAAGCAAAAAGCGAAAACTTACTGGAAAAACATTGAAAAAAAAACTTGAACAAATTAAATATTGAACAAAATATTGAATAAAAAAAACATACTTAAAACTTTGGAACTACAGTAAAACTACAGTAAAACATTCTAACATATAGTGCCAATAAAGATACTAACAGGGAAACGTTTCAATTAAGATAAAGAAACCAAAATAAATGAATGACTTTTTTTGAACATTTTTCATCTTCCAACCTTTGGGAAAGCAACACGTTGAAGTTCTTTGAAACTCAGACAGCTTTTTCGACTGATACTTAATTAGAGAAAACTGTGCCTACCGGTGAATTATTCTTCCGATTGAAGTTCTAAAAACTTACTTGTTGGTGCCAATTTCTAGATCGTAATTGGAGAGCGTAATTTGCATCCCCTTCAGTATATGATTTTGATTGAACTTGGGAAAAAAAACTAAACCGCAAAATAATTAAAGTTAAGCGTGGAAAACATTCAAGACTTTTCCTGCAAAAAAAATTAAATCACAGAAATAAATCAAACAAAAAATGAACAAGAACTTACAAAAACAAGAAAAAAAACATAAAAAAATTTCGTCAATTAATACCTGATTTAAGCTACCACGAATTACTCCCGAGAAAGCAGATATAATTAAGAGATTTAAATGTATTTCGCTAAATGTCACCGTTCAGCGCCAGAGACGAACTGATTTTATCAGGAAACAAAGTTTTCAGTCCAGATTTCACGATAGAGATTTTTGATCTATTTAAAAGTCAAAATCATGGTCGATTTTTAAGACTTTACTATGATACCACGCTTGAGGTTGTAAGAATAAAAAAGCGCGAAAATAATTCATTCGCGAGAATAATACTAAAAATAACAAGACTGCTCGTATCAGGGCGAAGCCCTGAATGTTCCGACTGCCTTTTAAGGTTTATGGAGCAGTAATAAAATTAAAAAATTAAATGAAATTTATGAAAAAAAAAAAATTTCTAAAAATTTTTATGAAAACCATCCCCCATACACAGTACAAAAGAACCTAATTTGCTCCTTGTAGCAAACCAAGTATGACAAATAGGCTTCTTTCAACCATTTGGAACAATTTCTAAGACGGATTAACTCTCCGCTTACGCGTTAATAGCGCAAAATATATCGCGCGTTAATTGTCCCAAATTGGCCAAAATGGCAATCTTTAAAACCCTGTAGCTTTACGAAAACTTTTCAAATTTAAGCTCAGGACAACAATACCTTTCGAATGATATAAAAAAATTCCGTCAAAAATGGCTAGTTAAAAAGTCGAAATTTGACTGAAGAAAAAAAAACCCACCCCGAGCACAAATATTCCGTTACTTTCGTATCGAAAGTCGGAACAATAATACTCAGAAAATAATAACTATAATCATAACTTATTGTTTTTACACAAAATATTAACCAAAATTCACAAAATGAAAGTTAAGTTATTTTGAAACAGCCTGGGAGATCACAAATGGATCTGAAATCCGTTTTCAGGTGCCTCTGATTGGAAAAACGTGTTCCTTTTTCGTCTAAATGAATTAAGAACAATGTCTCCTTACAAGTTTTAACGAAATTCGTAAAATTATTTAATTAATTTGCAGATAAGATAAGAGGTTGGTTTATGTTATAGATGTTCGCAACAAAACTATGTTCCAGTTCCTCTACAGACTGACTCAAAAAAATGAAAAAAAAAAACTTTTTCATTGTTTGTTATTCTTTTTTCATCTCATGAGAAGAACTGGAAAAAAACCAGTGAGAATAAATGATTTTATTTGATTAACAAGAGGATACGGGATTTATTAGCGAAAAGCAAAGAATCTTAGGACCAGTTTTTCTTGCAAAAAATTTCACAAAAAAAACATTTGTAAAGAAGAACTGGTTCTTAGATTCTTTAATTCTCGCAAGAAAGTCGAGTAAACTTTTCGTAATAAAAAATCATTTGCTCACTCTGGCCTGTATCAACATTGATTGAAACAGAAATGTCATTCAACGCACACGAAACCTGCATTTCGCAAACAAGGCATAAAATAGTGTATATATAATTATCTAATGCAATTAAAACGAGAACAGGCAAAGAAGAAAAAAATGCCTTGAAATCTTAAGAACAATATTTAATACATGATGCGACTTTAGTTGGCAAAAACTGGAGTAATTTTATAACACAAACGCCACTTGTGTAAATCGTTTTTCATCACTCCATTATTTCTTTAATTAAGTTGAGCAAAATAATTTCAAAAAGAAATGAAAAACCGATAATGTTGCTTACCCCAGGCTGCAATCGCTGGCTGCTCCTCCCGAACCATTTTCAGGTGAAATCTCAGACATCATCGAATAGGGTGAGGGAGTCAGCAGAGGGTCATGCCTGGGGTTATCTACTCGTTGGGTACCCTGACTTGAGTGAGGAATGTTGTGTGGATGTGGTTTATTGGAGGGTGAAAAACAGAGGGGAACATGGCCGATGCTATGGTTATGAACCATTGTTGTCATCACTCCTTGTTCTTCGCCCAGTTGTTACGTAATAGTTCAATTTGAAAATGAATTTGATAACGCAATCAATGGAACTGTTACGTAATAATTGAAACAGTTATTCTAAATACTTCGAGTAATAATACTTCATTTGTTGTAAAATAAGTTAAATAGCTTTTGTAATTGTGAATAGCTTTCAGAATTTTAATTTCGAAAAAGCACACTGAATGATAGATAAATGTCACGTAATACTTAAGACGATTTCAACTTCCGCTTTCTGCTAATCATCGAAATCAAATTTACGCATTGCTCATAACTTGCAAGCGATATTACTGTGATCAAACCTAAATTAAACAAGCCCTTTTTCTTGAACTTTGAGAACTTCTTCTGGATTCAGCTAGTGTTTGATACCAAGAGTGCCAAAAATCCAGATAACAATTTCGAAAAATTCATTCCAAGAAAACAAACAACTTGGTGTCTGTAATGACGTAAGCTTTAGCTTGCTAGACCAATAATCGAGGAATTCAATAATTATTATTTAAACCGTCCAACAGAACTAAGGCTTCTTCAATGTCAACGGAAAGCAAATATTTACAATTAAAAGGCAAGATAACGCAAAATAATTTCAGTAACATAACTTGAGACGAAATTAAAAAAAAACTGTTTTTTTTTATTCAGCTCATCTATCAAATGAGGAAGTCAATATCTTATTTCAAAATTAAAACTCGTCTTTGTCTGAGTTTAATTAAGCCATATAACTTAGTAGTAAAGCGAAATTTCAATTAGGTATTCGCAAACCTGACTTGAGCGTGACCACAAATTCAGTTCGCAATGTACCGGCAATAGCAACTTCTGTTGATTGACGAATACTTCTAAACTCACATTTTCGTCTAAAAATAGCCGTTATTATAAATAAGGTAAAATAGGGTATAAATTTAGTGGAATCAAATTCAAACTATTTCATGGAAACAAAAAACGCATCTGAATGTATGATCAATAAAAAAAAACAAGTCTTCTTCAGCCAATTAAATGCAAATCTGCAGGGCTGGTAGCTGACTGCTCTGAACTTCCGCTACCCACTGGGCCTAAAAATTCTAAAATCCTTTAAATTCACACAGTGGCAGAAATTATTTTAAATGTCAATACTGCCAACTTAGTACACAAAATTTGCCCAGAGGAAAACAAACCATTTTCCCTTTAAAAAGGCAGGAAAACTGCTCTACTGCTAAGAAAGAGCAACTCAAAGCGCTACTTGCTGTCGTCTAGCCAATATTACGTAACACAACAAAATTATGTAACAGTGAAAACTAAGAAAAACGATAGAGCGACCGCTAAAGCAAAAAAAAAAATCAATACACCTTTTTGTATATGCAAATTTTCTAAAGAAGCGATTTTTTCCAAACAAGAAAGTACTTTTGTTGGTTGTTTTAAAAAAATTAACAAAATCTACATTATTAAAAAATATATTGATGCTCGCGCACAGAAAAAAAAACAGAACCCTCAAAACGAATTGCATATTGTCATATTTAAATTATTTTAAAACCAATCACTGAACCGCATAAATATCTTTTCCTCCTGCTTTTAAGTTGCTCCTTTCGATTTACAGCGGATCTACTTAGGATATAATGGATACCCAATATGTAATAAATGTATCGGCACAAATCATCCTGATTTTTCCGAGGACAAAAAGTTGGAAAAATGCTAATCAACAGCACCTGCATATTATCAGCGGTGCAGAAATCCTACGTAAATTGAGACGTTATTTTATCTACTTCAGAGAGGTCGGAAAATCAGCTAAGAAAATTTGATCCAGCTAAGAAAAACTCCACTCAACTATGAAACATACTCGCAAAACACTAGATACTCCTGTATTAAGCGACTAATTTCACAACATATGATTTCATTAAAATGGCTCTGTTCGTTTGAAATCTCAGCTATATTTGTTCGTAACAACAAGTTTTATGATATCCGCGCTCATTACCATATTTTATTGCGTTATACAATAAAAACTCGATTTAAAAACTAAATTCAAAGTATTCATTGAGGCGATGGCCTTTACAAGCCTAGACAAAATCATTCAAAACAGCTTTAACAGATATTTTGAGAATAATTTCATCAGGTTTAAATTCGATGAAGCAAAAACAAATAGTGCAAATCTCTAGTCATTTCTCAATTTGGAAGTCCAAAACTTAATCGAACAAACAAATGTGCAAAAAATGCAAGAAAAAACAAAAGTCTGGGAAGAAAATAAGCTTAGGAAAGTTAAACATGATTTTGCCGACATTATGATTCGATCCACAAGCGTTCAACTTATGCTTACCTATCCTCCGCAGCTGTGCGATATGGCCTTACTGCCTACCGTAGTTAGATGCAATATATCAGAAGTCAATGAATATGCTTTTAAAAAGCAAATTAAAAACCTGCTACTAAACACATACTACAGAAACTGAACACAATAATTAACAACAGATTTGTTCCACTGCGATTGGAAAAAAGTTAACTTGTCGTGAAACAATTTGAAACTTACCCACAGGCAAAAATTCGTAACACTTAAATCTGTAAGCAAAGCCAACAAAGCTGGAGTGTCAACGACTTTAAGGTAATGAACTAACAAAAAACGAATAAAATTTTCCGAAAAAAAACATCTGTTCGAAACTTCACCTAACCCAGGAAGAAAAATCTGGACCAAAGGATAATTTCTAAGATACCGCTGATAATTCAAAAAACCTAAGCTAACAGAAAGTTGAACGCAATAAAATGAGAAAACCGAAAAAATAACGTTTTCGATATTCGAAACAAAAATATTCGAAGAAACGTTAAGGCTCGCTAAAATGAACGTTGAATCAGAAACATTTAAAGTATCTCATGGTGCACCACAGGTGTCTGTGTTGGGCCCATTGCTATCAATCACCTGAATCGTCAGCTATGAGTACCACTTATTCATTATACAGATGATACATCTCTGATTTCTAGCTTAGGAACGAGTTGTTTAGAGTTCCAGGAAGAACTAAATAGGGCAGGACATAGGCTGACTTCTAATAAGCTAACGTTAAATCAAAAACAAATAAACACCAGCTAATGCAAATCCTAAACACTCCTCCTTCCCCTGCTGCTTCGAATAGATGAGACGACATTCAACTCTGTGATAGTTATTGTGTTAAAACATCTGAGGATATGTATTGACTCCAAACTAAGTTTCAAAGTACATATAGATAATGTATGCACTCAAACAGCAAATTTCGTGGATTTAATTGTCGATTGCGTAATTTTTTGAAGACAAGAACGCTTTTGCATTTTATGATAATTACATTCAACGGAAAATACAATACGGTATCTTAGTTTATGAATGCGTCAATCAGTTTTTCCTCGATAAAATAAAGCAGCTGCATCATGTTTTTAACACTCATTAATTAAAAATCGAATTTTGTTCAACAGATTTCATTTTCATTGAAGACGTTGTGGCGAATGTTTATGAGTTATATATTTACGATTTACTAAATTTATTCTCAACCGTTTGAACAAATTAAATTCACCAAACTTTCATAAAATACTTTACCAACGCAAATCACAAATCAAAAACTAGGTTTCATCAGCCTAGGTTGACTAACACAAAAAAGTTCCAATAATAAGATTACAATCTGCCTTACATAATCGTGCTAAAAAAACTTAATGTCTGTTAGTTCGAAACGGAATGACAACTCCCAATTCAAAAAAATGATATTGCCGTTCAGAATTACATTCACAATTTTAACGAAACTACTTTAGAGTTTGATGATTAACTCACAGACTGTATTTTCTAAACCTGCTCCGAATAAACTTTTGCTTAAACTTCCTAAGTGCTTTAGTAGCTGGTTTCTGTTTCATTGGTTCCTAACATATAGCCAGTGGATGACAATTTTGATGCGTTAAATTAAAAAAAAAAACATAATTCATTGGAAAATCTATTAATTTCCTAGTTGACTGTTTTTGTTAATCTTGCAACTCAGGCATATGCCTTGCAGGTGTGGGAATAGCTATTACATTTTCTGGTGTACTTCTTTTCAATCAAAATTTATATAGATTCGTAAACATTCAGAGGGCAGTCTCTTGTTAAGTAATTGCATTACTTTTTAGGGTGTCTGCTTTGGTGCTAAACTCAGATTTTAGCACGAGCATAATGACATGATTGATTATATTTTTGCCGAATAAATGTTTAATACAAATTTAATTTACACTTCAAAAGTTACGACAGGTCGCTTATTGTGATATCGTTCTTCGAAAACTTACTTCTTTTCACCTTTTAAGACTCGTTGCCTGTTACGAATTGCCGTCTCGCGGCATTTGTTTTCCGAAAACAATCTTGACACAGAGGCGAAGTTGCACTTCGCATACACAAGCAAAAATATGACCGACATCGCTACTGGGAAAAACTGAATGAGTAAAACTTTGAGTCTACAAAATTTCATAAGTGACCCACGCCAATTATGAGTCTACATAATTGATAAGTGACGCAAGCCAATTAAGACGCATTAGCAGTACCAGTCAATTTGAAAAAAGAAATTTACCAACTAACAACCCTCAATTTATAGAGCGGACGCATTATTACTAAAATATGAAAAAATTCATTAAAAACATCCGACCTTGCCCAGGTCTGAACCCTCTTATTTTGCTGCTGGTTTCCTTCCCTACCTCTATGCTACAGATCCATGATGCCTTGAAGCTAAAGTGCTATTTGTAATATAATGGTCTGTTAATATCCTTAGCATTTGCTGTACTTAAGCGCTGGTTATTGATCTTATGCATATACTGCAATCAAAGAGCACTTTCAAAAAGAGCACTAATATTTACGACTTAGGTTGGATAACAAAAGAGAGTTCTCTATATCACACAAGCTTTGCTTGTGTAAAAAGTCAAAACATTTCCGGGAAAGCCCAGAAATCGATTCGAAGAAAACATTTCCGGGTAAGCCAAAAAATATATTCAAACTAAATAAAACTGATTCAAAATTCAGGATCTTGATACTAATTTTGCAATGCATCAGTCAGGCTAAAGACAAACATGAACATTACTTTTTATGCCAATCACTTTGGCAATAATTTGTGTATCACTAGCATAATTTATCATTAATTTAGATCCACTGTACAATTACAAATTCTGGAAAAATTAGAGCAAAAATGAGGTAACAGTTCATAATATCTAAAAATTGTTAAGACTTGGCAATTGCTAATTTTTGTATTTCTGACAGGTAGATCTGGCCAATTATCATCCCTCCCCCGGGCACCTAGTCAAGAATTGCAACCCATATAGAGAATTGATTGAACTTTTAAGCCTATATAAGCTTTGTACATGGTAACGGGGCTCCCTCAATTTTTGCAGTGGGGGTGTGGTATGGTATTTAAGAAGATCCGAAGATTGTAAAGTAAATCTAGCAATTCAATTCTATTGCAACGAGCTTTTCAAAATATTTACTATTTTGATCCAAATAGATGAGTGATTGAGATAGCACTAGAAGTAGGCTTATCAATCTGCAGTAATAATTTACTTCTCTAACTAATCTAAAATATATCGCATTTTGTTGACAAATTAAAGAGGAAAGATTTGAAGTGACGAAAGAATTTTGTTGTTTGTTTTATATTAGACGGTTCAAAATGATGTTTTTCTAATTTTTCTGGTTGGTTTGAGCCGGAAGCAGATTGGTTAAAGTTGATTGGTTGAAATTATCTGTTTTTTTCTGCTCTAATCGAAGAACCTATTTTACGAACTTCTGTAGCATTTTTGAGCCGTATAATAGATCAAACCCAAAAAATTGCAGTAAACTCTCTCAAATTGAAAGATAAAAACAGCGTGCACTTGTTTATAAAACTCAGAAAGCATAAAAATATAGAATTGTAGATAGCTTTATAGATCTTCGAATACTATCGTGGTTGCAATTAGGAAAATAGTTTCAGCTAATTAAAGTATTAATTGCCTTTCAACTCGGAGAGCTTGCTTAATTTATGGGCGGTTTTAATTTTCAAGGGCGAAAGTACAGACTGTCTGAATAAGTAAGAGCGCGCGCGTTCAATTTTACTCTTTACTTAGATTAATTTTGTCAAAAAACTGACAGGAGAAGGCTCTTCAAATTGAGGAATTTCACTTCAAAAATTATATGACTTTACAATTTTGTAAAAATTGGATTTTTTCTGACAAGAATTTAATAAAGAATTTGATCTTTTTAAATTCATGATATTCACGATTTTAGTTAAAGTTTTAAATATTGGAACAAACGCGCGCACTTTTTGAGAAATATTACTATAACAAGAAAAAATTTCAAACATCAGAAGCAGCAAACTGCAGAAACACTGTATTCGAAATAGTAATTCTGCAAAGCGGGCATTCCGTTGTTTGCACTCCGCAAACTGAACAGCAGCACACGTGACCACAGGGGAAAAAAACCAAGTCAGCGCTTCGTTCCATGCAGACACAACACTCGTTTTCCAGCCGAATCGAGGTCGGAAATTGGTTGTTCGCATTCGCATCGTTGCCATTTACATTCAAAGCCGGAACATTCTGGTTTTCTTTCTGTTTCGTATCGGAACGAGATTTCTTTTTGTTCAAATCCTCTTGGTCGTCGAGATTGATTTTGTTCGAGGAGTCGAGGGAGAACTTTCTAGAATTTTTCAATTCGCTGACTGCTGAAAGGATAGTGGCCCGCAGACCTATTTCGCTCATGCCCATCAATCGGAGATTCTCATCTGTAAACGGAAAAACGTGATGAGCACCGTTTGTTTCTACGAACTCAACGAAGATAGACCGTTGCTTTGCAAGTAGCAGAGAAAGTTCCGACCACAAAAAATTACACAGAGGCGAAGCTGCGCTACGCAAACAATAGCGAGAACACGGCAAAAGCAGCTTTATAAAGTGAAAAAAGAAAAAAAAGAAATGACTCGAATCATTAAAAATTTGCTATTTATTGGCTTCGAACCCGTGCCATCGAGAATTGGAGTCGGACACGAACGCTTAACAATCAGCAAACACTAATCACAAATAAGGCAGCTACATATGCTAATAAATTAAAAACATATAATAATAAATCTAATGAATTAAAAAGTATAAAGCTTGAGTTTTTATTATTGTTGTGTTGCTTGCAACAAAAAGCTTTTGTCCATTCATTTGATGAATAAAAATGCATCAACTGTGTTAACTTATTACTATTCAAATGTCCAAGCGCATGCCATCAAAAAGCGGTGTCGCAAACCGTGGCAACAATATTTGCGACTCAAGTTAACAAAGAACTAGCGTGCAACGCACCTCCGGTACTCATAATAGACCGCATATTTTGGAAATAACATTTGCATTCTTTGAGTGCACTCTGACATCACCCAATTGCACGGTTCGTGATTACAAATTTTACAAACTTTTTTTTTCAAATGTTTTATATACAAATTTTGAAGAACCAAAAAAATTTTGTGAAGTTCTATATGTCAGTTCTTCGAAAAAATTAAAGTGAACTAAGAAACGTCATATCGGGAAAACTAAAAGCAATTGGGCAGTGGCATTTGGAGCTAAGATTTGCAATTTTTGAGAGTACTCTTATAGCACCCAACTACAACGTTGGGAAATTCAAATTTTGAGAAACTTCACCTTAAATTTTCCAAAAAAAAAGTATTTCTTGAGAGCCAGAAAACATTTCACATCTCGAAAACTACCAAAATTTCAGCAGTCTTAATTGATGACAATATTCGCTGTCTTTAAAAGTTCTCTGACAGCACAACTACAGGGTTGGGAATTTAACTTTGGTGAATTTTTTTGTAATTTGAGTTTTCTGAAAATTTCAAAAAAAAATCACAAAAATCGTCTTATCTCTTTAACTAAAAAGATTTGGGCATTCTTAAATGGAGGCCAAAATTGCTACCCCTGAGATTACTCTGACTACTCCCCAACTACAGGCTAGGAATTTCAAACTTAAAAAAAAAATATTTTAAATTTCATGAAAATTTTTTGAAAAAATCACATAAAACGTCATATCTGGAAAACTGCAAGGTTTTGGGAAATCACATTTGGCGGCAAAATTCGCAACTCCTGAGAGTAACCTACGAGTCTCACTACATAGATGGTAATTTCAAGTTGTGTGAAAATTTTTATATCTATGTTCTCTGAAAAATTTTGAGAAAATCCTAAAAAAATGTCATATCTCGAAAACTACAAGGATTTGAGCAGCCATAATCAGAGGCAAGATTTGCAACCCCTGAGAGTACCCGCACAAAATCCAACAACAGGAATGTGATCTTCAACGTTTTAAAATTTTAAAATCTAAATTTTTGAAAATTTTTAAAAATCTTAAAAAACGTCTCGAAAAGTACAAGGATTTGCGAAGTGAGATTTGGAGGCAAGATTCGCAACCTCTGAGAGTAACGTGACAGCACCTAACTATAGGGTGACAATTTCAAAAGTTGAGAAACTCTTCTAAATTAATTTTTGGAAAATCTCGAAAATTGCCTATCTCGTAAACTAAAAGGATTTGGTTATTCATATATGGAGGCCAGAATCGCAAAACCTGGGAAAACTCTGACATCACTTTATTAGGTTGTTAATTTCAAACGTGGTGAAATAAACACTGAATTTCAACTGGAAAATCGAAAAAAACCTTAACCATAGCAATATACGATACAGCTTAAACGTGAAAAAAATCTTAAAAATAATACGTTGAAAAAGCCTAAACATGCCGAGATAGTGAAGCCCGCATTTAAATATATCATAGAAAGCTCAAAGTAAAAAATTTAGGAGACGGGTAGACAGACATAATCAAATTAATTTAAAAAGCAAGTATACAGACAGACCAAAAAATTACTGAACGGCCTCGCAAAAATTACTGATAATTAATGACCCTGCGGAAAACAAATTGAAAAACTTTCTTAAGCATTGCAAAATCTGATATAGCTGTCACTCCCTTTTAAATATAGTATAGATAGATATAGATATAGATAAAAGTCGTACTATAACACTAACGCTCATTAAATTTCACTTGTGTAAAAATATAGCCAACGGAGGTTTACAAAAAGAGTAAGTGAATGCTATTGAACCTAGATATAACTGACTTACTTTTTGAAAAAATCTCGAATTTCAATAAAAAATAAGGTCATCTATATTTTTTTTGTTAAAACTCGGGATTTTTCAGAAAACTCTTGAATTTCTAAAACCTTTTATGATTGAGATATTTCTGATATATTTAACACCATTTGAGAAAACTTTGAACCAAGAGCTTAAACTTCAACACAGAGGCGGAGCTTCGCAAATATTAGCGAGAACACGACAAAAGCAGCTATAGAAAGAGCAATAAGAAAAAGAGGAAAGAAGCCTCGAAATAGCAAAAATTCGGCTAGGTCTAAAATTTGATGAAGCCAAAAATTTTTTCACGCCAAATTTGTCGCGGTTTGATTTCTTTTCAAGTTCAGTTCATTTGATTTGTTAAAAGGAATGCAAATAAACGAATTGAACTTGAAAAGAAACTAAAAATCAAACCGCGATGAATTTGGGGTGAACTTTTGACTTTTTCCTGAAAAAAATCACAACCTAATAAGATACTTAATCATGTTTCGTAGCCCTACATGACTCAAATCGGCTGAATTTCAACGCATAGCCGAAGGACAGTGGCAAAAATGTAAATTGACACTAAAGCAAACATTCAAAAGACTTTTTGTTCTGACAATCAAAAACTGGGAGAAACTTTTGTCTTCGGGTATGTTTTTGTTTTTCCAACGCAAAATCAGGTACAACAAATAATCATCAAAACCATTCGCGTCTAATGTCATATTGGAGTCCTTTCAGTCATGATTCGAAATTTCAGTTTTTGGTGAGCTTCTTTTATCACACAACGCACAAAAAAACACTAAATTAAAAAAAAACGTGAAAAAAAAACTTTTTTTTTCAGAACATGGAAGGAACATTCTGTGCTACTGCTACATCAACTATCTCTTCGTGTCACTTCACCTGTGAGAGTGAGCAGAGCTTCGTGGGTCATTCTGTGTTTGGCGAATAGAGGCACGTAGTGAGATGCACCACACTTGTTCAGAAACTTGATCACATTTATGTCCAGATCGAACTCCTGAAAATATATTTACATACAGGGGTGTATGAAAAATTTCGACAACCTTCTCTTATACCGAATAAATTAATTCTCCAGTCTCTCTTCAAAAGCCAAAGAGACCTTATTATGCCACTAGTCTCTGCTACTTGACTAACCTACACTGTGAATTGAAATTGAACTCAGCTATACTTGGGATGCGACAAACTGAATTCGGCCCTTAGTAACATAAAGGTTTCTGATATCCGCATGAAAATGATACGTAGAAATCCTGCAATTTTCAAGACTGATAGAGCCCCATCACCTTTTTTTCTTCTTTGTTGATGTTTTTAGATGTTCTTAGATAATTTCGATTAAAAAACAGTAGCTATCTTGCAAACTTTGATTTGGTTATTCAACTAAATTCGCTTACCTTGGATGCGATTGAGACTGGCTTGGTGCTTAGGAGTCTCTGGTATTGAACTAGCCAGTACTGATCACTCTCTTCTTGCTTCTGTTCCTCCATCTTGAGTAGCAGATCATACAGCTCCTTCTCACGCTCCATTTTCTCATCCTACAAGACGCACAATTTCGACACAAAACAATGAATTATGGAAACAACAAAAATCAAAAAATGAAAAAAAATTAATTATAGAAGAAATAAAAACAAAAAATGAAACTGGAACTAGCCAACAGACATTTGGACAACAAAAGTGTAATCTCCAGTTTCTCCTACAAATTTGAACACGTTTTCTTTTCAAATTGTATTTCTGATTTATTTTGGTTAACTTGTTTCGGAAACTGGCGTATGCAATTAATTATATTAGGACTCGGCAATTCTTCAAATAAGCATCGGCATAACTCTTCAAATGAACATACAAAGTTAGCTCATTTTTTTAAAAGAAAAGTTTGCATCGTGATCTTTTTAAAATTTTTTGCGGTGTGTGCTCTATTCGGGTACAAACTATCCTTTCTGCTTTGTATCTTTCAACCAACTGTTTTATAAAGGTCAAATTGAAAATTCTGTCCTTAGCTAAAAGGAAATACTTGGTATACAATAATGATGCAAACAGCTGGAAAAATGTGGATATTTGGTTCATTTTATATCTTTCAAATATAGTTGCAGTTACAGAAATTTGATTGTAGATTGAATCCCTCTCCCATCTCACTCAAAAGCGACAAAATTTAGAAAATACCGAAGAAACTTAACTTTCACTACTTTTACCGAAGGTGATTGCACTCGGAAAAATATGTGATGCGTTTTACCATTTTTGTGATTAGCAGGTAAAATAATTTATGCGGAAAACCAATTCGTTCAAACTGTGTAGGATTTTTAGTTTGTTCTCACCTGCACTTTGGCCCACAACTGCGACAGTTTCTGCCTGTCGGCCTTGAGGGCCATCTGCTGATCTTCCTCACTCTCCACATCCCTTCTCTTCATCTCCAACATCGTCATATGCACCAACTGCTGCTCTATCATCTCAACCTACACACATGACGCAACTGTTTTGTAATAGTTATGTAACAATTATGTAATTGTGACGAAAGCCATGCAAACTCCATTCATATGACGTAACTTTTCGGCTGGCTCATGTACTCTGCGCAATTTTGGTTGACTTATACTTCGTCTAATTTAAAACTTCCTCACTTCAATCAATCAGAACACATCATAAAGCTAGTAATAAAACATCATACTCATCCAATCGTCTGAACATACTGTTATTCTTGCTCAAAAACATATATATTTAATTATCATACAAGATAATAATAACTAACCTGTTGGATGAGTTGATTCCTCTTTGCATCCTGCTGTACTAGTGCATCGTGCACCAGTTGCTTCTGCACTTTCTCACTCTGAATGTAGTCTCCCACCAACTGGTCTCTCTCGTGCTCCGTCTGCTCCAACAGTTCTCCCAATATTCGCTCGTCGTTGTAGATATCCCTACAAAAACGAACAAAAACATAGTTGGACTCGCTCCCCCCCCCCCCCCCCCCCCCACCTGAGAGTTTTTATGAGCAATTTCTCTGTTCACATAGTCCGATAGGTACACAAACTGGCATGACAAATGAGATCATGATGAACAAATTTAGTCTTCAAACTTATACCTCACTCGTTACGCCATAAAATTGATGCTTATGTGAGGCGAGGGAAGGAAAAGAGCCTTATTGAAGCCCGCACCCCCAGCTTATTGAATAAAAAATCAGCCCACCACTCTAGTAGTTTTGTGTCAAGCGAGGGGACTATGGTTTCCTGTGCGGCAGGGTGACCAAATACGCTGATGACAAAAGGGGACCTCTCATATATTCACAATAAATTAGGAATTGGAACCGAAAAACACTATAACTGTAGAAAAAAAATGGATCAAAATTTTTATTGCTCAAGCAAATTAAAACATTTGATCGATCACATTTGCAGACGTTGTTTCTGCCAACACAGACTGTCCTCTGGACTCCTTTTCAAAGCGCTCCTTTTGATCCATGGCCTTCGATAACTTCGCCTGCAGATCGTCAATTTCTTTTTGGGAAGTGTCAATCTTTCTTTTTAAGTCTGCAGAAGTAAGCTTTTTGTAGACGGCAAAATTTTCCCTGTCGACTTCGGCGTTTTTTGCGCGTTCTGAGTTGGTGGCAACATTCACTTGCGATGACTTCAGATAAGAAGAAGATGCTGTCGCGACTGAGTCATGAAGGTCGCGTGGAATAGTAACAGCTTCTATCTGATCTCTGGCGAAGAATGAGCGAACCCGCCGAAGAGCATCATACGTGTCCAGCAGAAAATGATTTTGATACTTGCTCTCTGCAAGTTTCATTTCACTGAAGCCGCTTTCCACTTGCATATGCTTGATCACTGGAATATCACTGATATCTTTCTGGGCCAGGTTCGGGAGATGACTGGTGCAGCCAACGTAGTCTTGAAGATTGGGGTGAAGTTTTCTCAGCTCAACCTGCAAACCCCCAACTTTTCCTCTCATGGTGTTACAATTGTCGGTCATGCAAAACTTGAACTTAGATTTATCCAGCTGATACTCTTCCAACACGCTCTCGGTGACATCCAAGTACTTTGAAACATTGGCTACGTGGTAGTCATCCAGACTTTTAATGGCACTCGAGTTCATTTGTGTAGCCACACGCAATGTTTGTGTACGCCGAGTCAGGAAACATAACCGAGTACAAGTTGCGATTGCGCGAGAACGCATCACTCGATCGAAAAGATGACCCGTCGAGAGCTATTTTCAAGACATGCAGATTCAGAGCTTTTCGTTTGATGGTTTCTTTGTCGTTCTGCTGTGCCACTTGCTGTCTGATTGTCGGTTGACTTTGAGCCGCTGCACTAGCGGAGACATGCCTGCCTGTTTCTTGATGTCTTGAAAGAACAGCAGTACCCTTGCTTATGTTGAGCTCTTGATTGCAACATCTGCAACGAACTGCATGCGGATTGCCATGAACGCTCAGTGCCCACGGGAAGTCGTTTTTCATTTTCCCATTGCGTGATCTGAAAAAGATAACTTTGAAGCATCTGTAAAAAAATAGAAAAGGGGACCACTGAACGCTCGGGGTACCAAAAGGGGTACAAAGGGGACTGGTCCCCCAAAGGGGACCGATTTGGTCACCCTGCTGTGCGGCTATAGGGTGAAAAACATTCTGTTGCTAAATTTTTTCTAGTTGTCGCGTGTTCCCAGTTGTCCGCAAACTTATTTTGATGGAAAGAGTATGATTCGTTACCGAATACCAACAGGGCGGGCGAAGTAGATATAAGACCCGAATTGTGTTCATGCCTGAGTATTTTGCGACTGTGGTAATCCCTTTTGATGTCGAGATCCTTCGCCTTCTGCTCCAATTGCAGCATCTCTTTCAGCTGTCGCTCCATACTCTTTTTGATATATTCGTCATGAAGGGCTGCGTATTCCTCTGCCTGAAAAAAAAACGCAAAAATCGATAAGGAAACATACAATTGAAGCGATAAAAGAGACTAGTTTGTAACGCACCTACGGGTCTGCCAACAGATGATGAACGTAAAAATTACTTATATACTATATAATTTATATTATATTATATATTATATTATACATTATTTATATTACATTATTATATTACTTATATACTATATGAAAAAAAATCAAAACAAATGCAACCATAACAAAACACGGGGCATCCAACAAAGATTTTTATTTCAGAAAATGAACAAAAAAATAATTTCAAATTTAAGGATCTTTTCAAATTAAAATGGTCAAAAATTCAAAAGTACTGCTTCGTATTTTAACTCAGACATGCTGTCGGTCACTTTAGCCCAAAAATGGGTGACAGCATACATCTGCACTTTCCATATTGAAAAAAAAACGAAACGAAATCATTTGCAAAATCACTGAAAGATTCTTGCCTAACTTCTTTTTTTTATTTGCCCGTTCGTAAACCATTTGATGCCATCAATTGTTTAATTCAGCGTGATCAATTTTAAAATATCAGACTCTTTATTGCTGGTTTAAATCCGAGATTGAAGATTGAAGTAAATTTTTAAGTAAAGTGAAATTGCTCAATAGTCGTGATCGGAGTCTGAGAAAAAACTTTTGCCTAGAAAATTGGGTCTGAAATAGTCAAGTTTTCAATGAATAAGGTCACCAATTAAGTCCATGAATAGGATTCACTGCTGCACTACTTGTTAAGAAAGTTCCTGAGTACGCAGAATGTAATGGCTAGTATTTTCTTTTAGTTCAATAACTTTTTTTGATGTTTGCTCTTTTTTGCATTCGTTTAAATTGATTATCTTTGGAATAATCTACACAGCATATATGACCTTATCATTTAATTTTTTCAAAATTTCAAAAAAAAATACTGTAAATTTGTTACTACTTTGGCAATAAGTCATAATTCTTGAGACAATTAAGTCCGTTGCATCGTTCGCCAATAATATCCAGACAAAAGAATTTTTTTTCAAAAAAAGATCAGTGAGATTGAAGTATAGTTTTTTGACAAAAAACCTAACTTGTATGGGCATCATTGGCAGAAGCTGCAAAAGATTTAATTCGCTCTAGTAGTAGCGTATTGCCAAAATTATCACATTTCGAGTGTAATTATCAAAATTTTGAAAATCAAAGAATAATAATAAATTCATAAAATGACAATTTAGTAAATTACAACTGTCTGGGAGATACACCATTGGATCTACAGATCCGTTTTCAGGTGTCTCTGATTGGAAAAAAAGAGTTACTATTTTTCTCTAAATGAATTGAGAACAATGTCTCACTATCAACTAAATTCAAAAATTCATTTGAATAGTTCGCTGAAAAGAAATGGGTCAAAACAAAACGGAAAACAACAAAACAAGAAAAATTTTGGGCCATAAATGCTGTGGACACCATACAAAGTTTGAATGATCAACGTGAGATAAAACAAAAAAGGGGCAAACCTGTAGATCAACCGATGCATTAAAAGCTTATTACTTTTTAAGAATTGACAAACATATTCGGTACAGTTTTGACACGTATACAAGAAGTGGTTGACTCACTTGCACAGCAGCTAGCTTCTCCTGTCTGTCCCTTATGTCTTTATTAGCCACCAGAGAGTGGTCCACTCTGTTCAACCTCTCATGCATCATGATCAACTCCTCGTTCGCCCTCCTTGTCTGTTCTTCTAGTTGGAGCAGAGAGGACACCCACTGGTTCCTCTGCTCGTCCATTTCCAGGCTCACTGCTGCCAGTTCCTAATCATATAAAAAATCGTCCTAATCATATAAAAAATCGTCCTAATCATATAAAAAATCGTCCTAATCATATAAAAAATCGTCCTAATCATATAAAAAATCGTCCTAATCATATAAAAAATCGTCCTAATCATATAAAAAATCGTCCTAATCATATAAAAAATCGTCCTAATCATATAAAAAATCGTCCTAATCATATAAAAAATCGTCCTAATCATAGAAAAAATCGTTAATTCAGTACTGTCACAAGTGTGCCTTTCCGTTCTTAGCTAACCCTCGCAAAGCCATAGTTAAAAGAAACGATAAGTGAGTCTCCACAATCTTCGATTGTGGAACACGAAAATTAAAGCACTTGTTGGACGATCCCTCCTGTTTGCAGCTACAAGTAATCACATTCAAAATACATCGGATGTTCAACAAACCGTCATATTTCTTGATGCCTGTCACCTCAAAAATCAGCTACTGCATTAACTCGGAATGCATGACATGTTACATGTTCAAAACATGTAAACCCCCCCCCCCACAACCTCACATAAGCATCAACTTTCTGCCGTAACGAGGGGTTTTACGAGGTTACATGTGAAGACCAATGATGTTTGTCATAGCTTAATTAGTCCTCATGCCAAATTTTGTAACAATCGGGACAATGAGAACAGAGAAACTACTAAGAAAATTCGCTGGTGGGGGACAAGAAAAAAGAGTCATGAGCAGGATTAGAGGGTATAGAAAAGCTTAAACAGGGAGCAGTAAATTCCAAGAGCCAAGTCTTAAACATAGCCAATCGAAGATTGGAAGAGAGTAATGAACGCAAATAAACATAAAAAAAAACATTGACTTTAATTTAAAAAATCTCTATTTTCGAATTTCATGATAAAAAATAGATACCCTTTAAGCTCTTTGAAGTTCTAGTACGATTTTTAATTGGCGCTTTTTTGATAACATTAACCCGACTTGAGAAAACTGGATCAACAGGTAAAGTTTTTATTCCGCTGAAAACAGTGATGCCCATTCCTTATGAGAAATACTTTGAATTTACGGATCCTCGACATTACAAAGCATTATGCAAATTGTGCAAAAAACTTCAATACAAAACTCTGGAAAAAGTAACTTGAAACCGCACTTTGAAAAAACTCACCCAATTGTTTACGGCAAGGACTTGCGCGGTAGAAGAGCCGACTCTGACACAGGTACTGTCGAGAGACTTTTTTCTGATAGCGGAAATATTCTCTCAAAAAAACGTAAACGCTTGGGCGCAAGTTCTCGAGAATCTTCTGTACTTAAAAATTAATTGATTTAATTCAATTATTATTTCCTTGTTTGTTTTCTTAAAAAGCGATAAAAGCGGAGAGCTATAACTTAGAAAAGCGGTTAAAACGAAAAGCGGTTTCGAAAAAAGCGGAAGCGGCGAAAAGCGGCTTTTCCATATGCGGTCAATTCACTGACTCATAGCGGAATACAATACAAATGACAGAATGCAGAACAATGGATCGATGGTTCTAGACCGGAGTCGCGAACCTCTTTTGCACCAGGGTTCAGATCTTTTAACCTGTATCCAAAAAATAACGTAAATTGCAAAAAGGAATCATTTCCAGAAAAAAAACTTCTTGAATTTGAAATTTTGCAAATTATTCAAAAATAACGTAAATTGCAAAAAGGAATCATTTCCAGAAAAAAAACTTCTTGAATTTGAAATTTTGCAAATTATTCAAAATGTTCACTGTTCCATTGTTTTATCAAATGAAACAGTGAATTTTCCATATGCGGTCAATTCACTGACTCATAGCGGAATACAATACAAATGACAGAATGCAGAACAATGGATCGATGGTTCTAGACCGGAGTCGCGAACCTCTTTTGCACCAGGGTTCAGATCTTTTAACCTGTATCCAAAAAATAACGTAAATTGCAAAAAGGAATCATTTCCAGAAAAAAAACTTCTTGAATTTGAAATTTTGCAAATTATTCAAAAATAACGTAAATTGCAAAAAGGAATCATTTCCAGAAAAAAAACTTCTTGAATTTGAAATTTTGCAAATTATTCAAAATGTTCACTGTTCCATTGTTTTATCAAATGAAACAGTGAATTTTCCATATGCGGTCAATTCACTGACTCATAGCGGAATACAATACAAATGACAGAATGCAGAACAATGGATCGATGGTTCTAGACCGGAGTCGCGAACCTCTTTTGCACCAGGGTTCAGATCTTTTAACCTGAATCCAAAAAATAACGTAAATTGCAAAAAGGAATCATTTCCAGAAAAAAAAACTTCTTGAATTTGAAATTTTGCAAATTATTCAAAATGTTGATCAGTTTCAAAAAATTTTCAACAACTTTGTGAAATTATCTAATTTTTAAAATAAAGAAAGAAAGAATTTATTTCTCATTGTTAATGGTCAATATGCATATAACGATAATTTAAACATGAAGCACCAGAAACAACGAGTGAACAGTTAACGAACCCATTTGTGTTACAGAGCACTGCCCGTTTTATCAAATGAAATACGAAATTTGAGATTTTCAAAGAAAAGAAAAGAAATAAATCTGAAAACATAAAAGAAAATATTGGAAAAAACACTAGAGTTTGAATAAAGATAAAGCAGCAAATTTATGGCATTGTCTAGACAGGTTAATGACATAAGGTCCAAGCTCTGCATCAATATTTAAAAGGATGTTAATCTGTTAATTTTTACGGCTCCTCTTTGGCCACAGCAACATGTAAAACAACAACAAAATTGGCATGCAGCCTAATTAGTCAGCAAACAGACATTGGCTTTTAGACATTTGTTCTTCAAACTTAACCTTGTAAAACCCCTCCTTATACCATAAAATTGATGCTTATGCGAGTTGGGGGAGCCTAAGTTTTTAATTTTCCATTGTTCAAACAAAATTTGTTCACGCTGATTTCTTCTAAAGTCACCATATTGACGTCAACTGTTCATAACGTCAGAATTATCTTTTTTTTTCACATTAAGTTCTGTCTACCATTAATTATACATCCTTTTCCTCTGTTGGTTTTGATAACAATTAGCGAGTTTCAACTTTTGATTAATCAAATACCGTATCTGCAAAAACGCGTGACTAGGAATTGTTTAAACAGGTATACCGATAAAACAGTATTAATTAAATTCTGCTAGCTCGCTTGATCAGAAGAAATGACATAGATGCATTCTGTTTTTAAAACGACATTGAAGTCTTAGGCGTGCTTGGTATGAAATTAGTGTAAAAAAAATTCAAAATGAGCCAAATAAATGACCGATCGGCGACGGAAGCGTGATCAAACAAATTGAATAAACTTTAAGCAACAGCTTCGATATAATTTTCAGGGTTTTTGTCAAATTTATTGCTTCTAATTAGCTGAAACACAACAATACAAAATAATATGGTCTTATTTTGGTTTCAACATTTGTTTGAATTTTATGGGAATTTTATGCCGTTTTTACAGACCCTGCTCCTCGAGACTCCAAAGCGACTCTTTTCAGTTTCAACCCTTCCATGAAAATGACGAAAAAAAGTAAGATGATTTCTAGACAGAGACAAAGCCGAGCTTTAGACCACCTGCGATACAAATAAAATATTGCATTATAATGTGAATAGGTATTTGAAAAAATATATATATAAAAAAGTATTCGAAAAATCTTCAATAAACTTACAGCTGAGAAACCTTTCCATATTTTTCTCAAAATGGCTCATAAACAGCATTAACTATAACAAAGCAGCGATAACCATTTACTTAGCGGCTGCAATCAAGCCAACAAAAAGATGACAAAATTGTTGTAATACATTAATTCGAACAAAGTTTTAAACCTAGAGTACCCATCCTCCTTGGCACATCAAACACAAAAAATAGTCTGCCTTTCAAACTATGCAATAAGAATTGACTTAAGCGATATAATACACGCGGTCTGCAGAAACTATAAAATCTAAAAAGCAATAATAATCTAAATTAAAGTTTACGAATTTACAAATAACAGAAAAAACTTTCAACTATAGTAAACTCTGTTTAAATCAGAACATAGGACTTGGGGAAAAAGCCCAATGAAAAAAACCATACTAGATTTTATAAATTGCATTAGGAAAATTAGGACAAAAATTAGGACGAAAACCATGAATCATAAAACGTTCAATAACTTTAATTGAAATAATTTTCAATGTTTGTCAATGAATTTATTTGAAAAAACTCATAACTACCCAGTATGCGCTTCAGCAGCTTTATTTAAATTGTCGAAAAAATATGAGCGTGTCAGCGTGCACGTGACTCTCTGTGCATATTTCTTAGAGATTCGTAAGAAAGTAGTTCCGAGGAAAAAAGTCTAGTTCCTGGTAACAAGTCACTTGCTCTCGCAAGTGTAAAAGGAAAAAAAGCATTCAAAAAGAGTGGTTCAAACTTGCTGACTTGCTCCTATTGACATGTTTTTAAATAATTTATGGCATTGTCTAGACAGGTAAATGACTTAAGGTCTAAGCTCTGCATCAATATTTAAAATGATTGCTCAATCGTAGTCGATATACAACCAAATGAAATAAAAAAAGTTTTCGCATAAATTATCACACAGTCCCAAGCCAGAGAGAAAAACTTAGCCAGAAAAAATTCGTTCTTATTTATTCAGATTTCATTTATTTAAATCTGTCATTGATAAAAAAGTAAATCGAGTATACCTTAGAGTACCAAAAAAAGATGGAATACAACAGCATTGATGATGATCATGAAGATATTATGCAAATAAATAAACTTTCAGCGTCATTATTCTCATAAATCTTATGTATTTTGTCATGGTATAACATGTATATGTTAGGTATTTTCCTAAAAATTTTGTTCAATTTCAGGTTTTACAATATGGATTAGCAATAAATTTGTCACCATTTAAAATTCCTACCTGACGCATGAAATAATCGAGAAAGTTAACACCATAATTCCCTTCATTGATTTTCAATTTTTTTCGTGTCAGGTGGGAATTATAAATGGCAATAATTGACATTTAACAAGTATTTTGGCAGAAACAACAACAATAAAAATGAAAATCGTCAAAAAAACTTCAGTGCTACTTTTATAGGCTCTTTTCCAGTTTCCCACCCCCTCGTAAAATTGAAAAGTTAAACTGTTCAAAAATTGATCACATGGTTTTTTGCATGCAAGAAAGGTTGTAAAAAGTTGTTCACCTGTTCACGCCGACACGTTTTGATGCAATTCATAACAAGAAAAACTTTTTTAAATAGACGGCTCTTTGCCACTCTCCCCATCGAGATTTATATTTGATTTACAGTTGTCGATTTGTTCACCACGCCAAATTTCATTGCAATCATGACACAGAGGCGAAGTTGCACTTCGCATACACAAGCAAAAACATGTCTACAAAATTTCTTAAGTGACGCACGCCAATTATGAGTCAACATAATTGCTAGACGCAAGCCAATTATGACACATTAGCAGTACCAGTCAATTTCAAGAAATCTACCAACTAACATGCCTCAATTTATAGAGCGGACGCATTTTAACTAGTATACGAAGAAGTTCATTAAAAACATCCGACCCTGCTCAGGTTCGAAACCTCTTATTTTGCTGCTGGTCTCCTTCCCTACCTCTACGCTACAGAACCATGATACCTTGAAGCTGAGGTGCTATTTGTAATATAATAGTCTCTGCTGTGTTAATATCCTTAGCATTGGTTGTACTTAATAGCTGGATCAAAATGAACACTTTCAAAGTGAACACATTTTGTCGCAACAATTGCATCGCAACAATATTCGCGACTTAGGTTGGAAAAAAATTGAAGTTCATACTATTACACAAGCTATGCTTGTGTAACAACGTTAAATAAGCTTTTCAAAATTGAATTTAAAAGGTGGGGGAATCTGGTAAAGAGCCGAATAGATTTTATGAATTTCAGAAAAAATCGAAGGGAAGGGAAATGGAAAAAGAGCCCTTTTATATTATTGAGCATAGAAACCACCGTATTTTAAACAACTTCACTTATTGTGGCTATACACTCCCGAAACTATCACTTTTTCTGTAGTGATAGAGCCCCTATGTGCAGGGCAGTTTTTGAAATAATCTACAGTTTTGCAGCTTTGATAAACTGCTCCTTCATAGCAACAACCGTTCTAAATCTATTCTCTATATCGCTATTAGGAAACGATATCGCCTTTGGCTTAGAGGTTAGTCAATATTGATGATGATGAAAATTGTCCAAACGCACCAAACGAAAAATTTTCTTAATGACCAAATATCAATATACTGGATTTTTTCCTGCAAGCTAACGAAAAGAAAAACAAAAGGCCCTCCTTTTTCTCTATTGCTTAAGACAGGAAAACTTCGGGAGATATAATTTGTTCTTCTTTTGATTAAATTCAAATTCAATGGAGAATCCATACGCCCGGAATTAGTGAGAATTAGACGGTGAAAGTCATTCAAAGGAAGCTACTCGTTTCTGAAGCGCAGTGCAAAAAGTTTTCCGGTCTAGTTGTTAAAACTACAAGTTGACTTAATTAACTATATGACCGCTGCTATTCACAAAAAAGCACTATCAATTTCTTAAATCTAAAATCAAGCGAAATTCGAAAAATGTGAAATGTGCATTGGCCATTTAATTTCCATGAGTCGCTGAAGCATCGTTTAGATGAGATCAATTATATGGGAAGGAAATTTTTTGAGCCTTCACACGATCATTAGTAATTAGGCCACTACAAAAAAAAGGTTTTAACAGTTGACCTTGAATTGATAAAATATAGAAACTAGCGCATGATTCGCATTTACGGTGCTTGAAATAGAGCTTCTTAAAATATGGACAAAAAACATTTAGTACAACAGTAAATTTGAATTGGGCCCATCAATCAGGTTTTTCTATTTCAATAATTGAACGTTTTATAAAGTCCAAATGGTCAAATTCTGCGTTTTATCAAATTTGTGAACCTTAAGCTTAAAAAAGACACAAAAAACCCCGACAGCATACAACTGCACTTTTCATCTTCGATAAAAAAAAGCTCAGTTCTAACATCAACAATTAGATTTTTATTCAAAAAAACTCTTTAGTTTACTAAAAAAATTAAAATAATTATAATTATCAAATCTCGGAACCTGAAATTGAAAAAATCAATTGTAAGAAAATTTGCAACCCCAAGGATTTCCCTGACAGCACCAAAATCCATGGTTGAAGTTTTTTTGAAACTATGTTTTTGAAGAAAGATAATGATGAATCGGCCAAATCTCGGCTTTGAAAGGTTTTGGATCAGTCATCTTTCAAAGCCAAATTTGCAATCCCTGATTATACCCTAAATGCACCACACCATAGGGTTGAGAGCTTCAAGTGCTGGTTTTTTGAATTTTAGGTTTTTTGAAAAAATATTGTAAAATCATAAAAAAACGCCAAAACTCGAAAACCAAGAAGATTTAAGCAGTAAAATTCTGAGCTCAGAAACTACCCTGATATTACCCCACCACAGGGCTGAGAATTTCAAGTTCTTTTTAAGCGTGTTTTAAATTTAAGTTGTTTAAAGAAAAATCATAAAAAATGCCTTATCTCGCCTTTTAAAAGGTTTCTATCAACCAAATTTGATAACCTTATTTGCAACCTCTGAATTTACCCTGAAAGCAACCCATCATAGAGTTGAGATTTTCAAGTCCCGTTAGTTTTTTTTAACCTACGTTTGAAAAAAAATCAAAAATTAATTTAAAAAACGCATCTCGAAAACCAAAAGGATTTGAGCAGTCATATTTGGAAGGCAGAAACGCATCCTCATATTGTTCCCTGAGAGCATTCTACCATTGGGTTGAGAATTTCAAGTTCTGTTATCTTTTTTAAACTCTAAAAATATTTTGGATAAGCAAAATTTTTTGGAAAAATATTGAAAAAATCATACAACTCGAAAACCAAAAATATTTGATCGGTTGCATTTGGAGGCCAGGTGTGCAACTCTGAGTGCACCCTGATAGCCTTAACCCATACCTTTATCTGTTTCTACTGAAATAAAGTATTAGACGCTTATGTAGGGAAAAACCTATTTTCTGTTCTTTTAAGTGAACTTAAAATTAAATTTGACTACTTTCTAAGAAGTGGAAAACAATAACAAAACAAAATATTAAAATTTTAAAAAATGAACTATTCCTAAACCATATTTACTAATCAACAAGGAAGATATTTCCACATATTTACTTTTTTACATGAACCGTTTATGCAGTGAAGATCTTAACACGTTCTTTCAATTGAATCATTAAACTCAATTGGCGGGGCAGTGTTTGAGAAAAGAAAATATGTTCCAGAAAACAATCAAATCTAAAAAAGCGGACTTTTCCTAGGTCATTACAGTTTTTGACAGGCTGTTGTTTCGATTGAAACTTTAATCGCAGTGCCACTTATTCCCAAGGGAAAATTTCGATTCAACTCTAAAACTGAAAAAAAAAAACGGCGTAAAGTTCAGAAAATTGACTTTTCACAAAGACAACAATTTTCATAAAAAAGTTGAGGAGTCTCAGCTTCTGCACAAAAATTTTCAATCTCAGATTTGCAGAGTAGATTTTGAGAAAAACAAAATGTTTCCAAAAAAACGGTCCAAAATTGAACAAATTTGGATTTTCACTGTTCACTGGGCTAGAGCTTTTTTGCTATATAAATGAGGGTATACCAGCTTATGCAGTGAACAAACCCAAAATATATTGTTTCAAATAAACCATTAATTTTGAGAGTGGATGGTAGTTTTTGAGGACACTTTTTTGTTAAAATTGACCCAATTTGAGAAAATTAGATCAATAAGTAAAACTTTTGTTTCGCTGGGAAATCTGATAACTATATTCCGTTTTCGAAATTAAAAGTCCATCGCCTTTTTGGTGACCTTTACACTTTTGCTGTTCAATAGTGGAGTTTGTCCTCGATTTAAAAAGGAAATGATCTGAACTTCGAAAAAATCAAAAATCAAACCGCAAAAAAGTTAATTTGAGTCCGGAAAAAAAATTTTCCGGAAAAAAAATAATCGCGACCTATATAAGACTCTGAGTTACGTTCATCGATTCTTAGCAATAGTCTTCTTTGAGGCCACAACTTCGTTCTTTGAATTATTAGGATTTAAAGTTAATCCAAAAGCAATCTGCTACATCACACAATGTAATCAAGATCAACTATCATAATAAAAAACAACTAACGACAAAAAAAAACAGAAAACAGATACAAAAATCCACTTACTAATGACAGGTAGAAAACTAATTATTAGTGCACATTTATTCCTATCAATTACCTCCTGTTTAAGTTTTTCCATCTCCGTCAGAGTTTGAATTAAGATCAACTCCTCCATCTTCTGTTGTTCCAAGTGGCGCAGAATCAGTTCATCCTCCTCTTGCAGTTGTTTCTAAATCAGATTAACTAATGATTTACACCTCAATTCTTCGTTTACTATAATAAAACAGGAAAAAAATAGTGAAACTTTTTCAAGCAATATAAATCAAAAAATACTTCAATATCGACAAGGTATTTATAACAAAATAACCACTTCAAAAAATTTAAAGCACAACATTTCTGATTATAAAACCTTCTATTCATTGAACATTACTTACACTTGGTCGAATATAGAAACAAATACTATCAGGCTAAATGATAAGAGAAAACAATGCAGAGCAAGATTTTTCTGTTAACGTCAGCTAACTTGGTTTTGATCAAATTGTAATTTTTCAAAATAAATTGAGTCAAAAAACTTAATCGCAGACACCTTACTGAGTTTTATTAGATTTCTGGATATTTTTCACGTTGTGTGACTTTTAATCTCACAACACAGACCACTGTCAAATTTGTTCGTTTCGAATAATCATCGAAAGAGAAAAAAAATCCACTTTAAACGAAAACTTTTCTTTCATTACACACATTGAAAAAAAAAATTTCATTCCTTATTAAACACCTTGAAAAAAAAACACCTTGAAAAAAAAAACACCTTTAAACACCTTTTTTCATTACCAGCCTTGACAGAAAAGTTTTCGTTTTTTACCCACCTTGATCAAATTCTCAACATCTGAGGCCTGCACATCACTTGCACTTCTTTCCGACACTCGTTTCACATACAGAGAATCATCCAGCAACTTCCTGTCGAAGTCATCCGGCAGACACTCGTGGTATACATACTCAGTGAACGGATTCAGAGACATCATTATTTCTGATATAAATACGGTACGGTACATGACAATTATTAATTATTCCTACAAATCAAGAATTAAACTCTCGAAAAAAATCATTTTCCAAAATTCAGTAAGATCAAAACATCTAATTTTTTAAATTTAGATTTAAAAAAATGATCTCACACAGTGTTTTTCATATAAAGTCAGCTGGCGTTTCATAATCCGCAAAGACAGACTTTTTTCTGCGCTATGCCCAATTTTTATAACATTTTTTTGCAATAAACTGAGGGAAAAGTTGTTCTGGATAACATATTTCGTTCATTTTTAAATTGTTACAATTATTCTACCAAACGAATTGTCATGTACCCTGTATGCTCTTCATTCTCAGCTGCAAACGATTCGTAACAAGTATGATAGATTGGTTCATTACAGTATATTATTCAAAAAATTGGACTTCAAAATGAAGACGGTTCCGTGTCTTTCATAAATTTATTCCGCAATTACACCATTCTTTATTTTAAAATTACAACAAAATAATGAATAATTGCTTTCTAATCGTAATTTCAAGATCCAATTTTTATTCGACCTCTAAAATACAATGAAAAACTTGATTTACTACCAATAATTGTTGAGAAGCACTTTCACAATCCTCTTTCAATTCGACTCATAAGAAAATATCACAATTTTAGCATGTTATTTTGAATTCAGGGAATCTTCTTCCAGTTTCGCATTCCTAATGCTATTTCTATCATACTTTTACCTTTGATTCGATAGGGTTTTTGTCGTATTCGAAAGTTTTCAGTCTCAGGAGTTGCGCGAACGTTTTGGGTAATTCAATGATATTATTCTGCGAAATATCCAATTTTCTTAGACTCTTCAAATTTGGTATCGTTTCAGGCAGAGTCATAAAACGGTTGTCTTTGATAGATAAAACTTGAAGACTTCTCATATTCGATAAATCTGGTAGCCAGTCTAATTTATTACAGGATAAATCAAGCTCCATTAGGCTTTTCAAATTACACATGTTATTACAAATTGATTTCAGACCATTATTTGATAAGTCTAGCAATAGAAGTCGTGCTAGATTTTCGACGAAAAGTTTTTCGCTCAATTTGTGCAGAAAGTTGTGTGAAAAAATGAGTCCCTAATAATGAGCATTTAAATAAATGGCATTTTGAAGCTGATTGAAAGTTTTAAATTCAATTTAACTCTCGTTTCAGAAATTATTTTTATAAACTTAAATAAAAGCTTCTTTAAATTCTCAAATTTGCTTCGCCTGATTCAGAAATCATCTTTTAAAATGCACGAATTTGTGTTGAAAAATTTAAAATAAAAACAGGCTTTGACAATATCATTTTGTTCAACAAAATATCAATTTCGGTACAAGTGTGATAGAGGGGTCCCAAGAAACTAACAGGGCCCCTAATGTAAAAATAGAGCCTCAAAATTGATCACTATGATGCTTTGATGATTTCAATTAAAGTATCAAATAAGTATGAGCGAATAAGCAGGTTAATTACGTTAGATTAAAAAAAATTGAAACGTTCAACCGGCGCGTATTTGATTTAGTTAATTGCTGTATTCGCATGAAAATCATGTGATTTGGGACCTCTCTCTCGCAATTGGTTTTTACCGGTACCCCTCTATATCTATAACATTTGTACCACATTTTCTTTCTAAAAGCTATTTAATCTTTAAATCAAGATTCTTTTCGATGATACACTTTGGCAGGAACACTTTTGCAGGATAACACTTAGAATACATTTTTAAAATATGCAAATTTGAAACCTATTTTTTCTGGTCGAAAAAATTTTTAATACAAAAACATGCAAGAGGTAGGCTAGCCGACAGAAAATGAGACGAAACCCAAATCAAAATATTGAAAAAGTGTCGAAAAGCCTACCATCACTTTCATACGTTTTTCTCAAATTGCATTTTTTTCATTCAGCGGAAAACAATGCCAATTAGGACATTGTCAGCGTCAAATTAAAATTGAAAAAACCGACATAGCGCTAGCCAAACTTACAATACTTGAGTGGACACCAGTTGGGTCGAAAGATAATGTCATTGAAACAACTAATGGGAAACAACTCGGTCGAGAAATTTTTTTTTTGGAATAAACGATGAACTATATTACACTTGCGATACCACAAAAACAGCATTGTAGGCTAGCAGACAGGAAAAAAAGCAACTAAGTCCAAAGAAAACGGAAAAAATTTCGAAACCACAACTAAAAAATTCAAAATGTTGTCTGGAATGATGTTCTATTAGCGGAAATAATTTCCACAAACATAATCGACGGCCTTTAATGAAAATTCGAAAACAATTTTCGAAGGAAAAATAATTGTTGTCATGGAAAATTTTGAACTATATATTCTTTTCTGAGATTTTTTATGTTTTGTGCGATCTGGAGGGGAGCATACTAACTATAGTTTCCTGAAAAGACCCAAATCTAGATCTAGATTAGTAAGCCGATAAAATACAAGGCGAAATCATTTATTCGGAAAAAATTTAAGCAAAAAAAAGTTACTAGAATTACAAATTGCAGGAGGAAATGAAAATGTAAAAAGCAACTACAATGAAAACTGCATTCAGAAAAAAAACATACGATGTGGCAAATAAGTCGCCAAAACATTAGCAGACAAATAATAAGCCGACAGTTTTTTTGAAATACACAAGAAGTCAGGGCTAATCCATTTCCAAATTACAAAAGTAAACCAACAGCACTTACAACTACAACGAACAGCACAAGAAACATCCGTGATGAGGCAACTAATCCGATAAAAGATAAGCAGTTAAACAATAGGCCGAAGATGCAATTTTTCTCGGCGAAAAAATTCAATTTCATATATTCTGAAAAAATCAAGGTCCGGCCGGTACTCAAACCCAAGACCTTAGGGGGTCAAAGGCAGCCGCGTTACCTTTAGACCAAGTGATGGAAGGTGTTATGGTTCAGTATTTGAGTTAAGTATTTAAGCAAATTCAATTTCCTACAGATTTTAAGAAGAAAATGTTAACAGGATAAAAATAGCTTCTGATTACAAGACACTTGTATCTCTCGCAATTATAATAACTTTTAACTTGATTATAAACTTTAAATGCCCATCAGCCCATTCGTGCCTTTTTGTTTAACATGTCCGCCCACTCGATCACCTCAACTGGGATTTCAGTCATCTCACAACTGGAGAAGTTCCAGCAGTTGATTGTGTCCAGGTCTCTCTGGTAGTGCGTGAACAGGTCGTCAAACTTCTTCTTCGCCTCCTTCGACTGGTGAAGGCGGTTGAAAAACGGCATTATAAAATACACGTAAATTAGATTCAAAATCACATCTGAAACAAAAAGTTCTCAACTTTCGAATTTCTCTCTCGCTCTTTTTCTCGCTATTTTTTGGCCATAATTTAATTCGTGTAAGAAAAAATGAACTTCTAAAGCAAACAAACAAATTATTTTGATTTTCTTCACTTTTTCTCGAGCTTTAATTTAAGTTTTTAAAGAGAAAATTATATTCAAGATCTCATCAGAGAAGAGACACTATATCATCCTCATCATGAATGAATATCCTCCCTACTAAATAGATCGAGTTAAACGTTTCTACCCGCAACTTAAATTAGAATTACTTTATACTCTACATGCAAAAATTTAAATTTATCGAGTAAAGTTCCAATTTAGAAACAAGTTTTTTGTTTACTATTCCTAAAATAAAGTAGTGAAAGAGAAAAAAGATTCTAGCTTGTTTGAAACTAGACTTTTTTCGGAAGCTTAGAACATCGAAAGCTTAGAACTCGGGAATATTAAGCAAGCTCGTACGGTTTGTCTTCAAAATCAAAAACATAGCCAACATACAGTTGGAAACGATCAACATTTTTTTATTCCGCAGGGAAATTCACTTTCGAAACTAGAAGTCAATTAAAATGTTCGTGACCTTTACATTTTTGCTGTTCGATCTTACAATCCAACAATCCAATCGATCTTAAAATCAAACAAGAAATCAAATCAAAAAAGAAACTGCAAAAAAAGCAAAAAAGAGCGACTTATTCCTGTAAAAAACCATAAAAAACCACCAAAAACTATATAAGTCTTCACTACTAATACTAATGCGTTTATTGTCATTTTTCCTATTGTCGCGGAGTTGGACATCAGAAAAGCTCGTAAGCAATGGTTCAGATGAGGGCATTCTGAATAGCATGCAAGCTATTAAATGGAGAATAACACGTTTCTCCATGCCATTTGATCAAGGCAGTCTGTGGATTTGAAGTCTAAAGTATTCAGGTCTCGTTTAACACAATCGATCCAGCGATTCCGAAGTCACTTTAAGACAAAGTTACCAACCACATAACCTGTTGATCTGGACAAGCTACAAAAGCGGTCGCGGCTACGATGGTATGGCTATGTTCATCGAAGACAAAATAACCATACGCTAAAATCAACAGACCATGTTTCAGTCAGCGGAAAAGACCAGCAGGAAGGCCTAAAAAAGCTTGATCGATTTTCACATCACTTTCAAATCAGCACTCGTAAGAGAGCTGGATATTGCCTTGGTCTGCGCCCAGGTTTCAGAGCATTACATCATAACTGACAGGACACAAGCCCCGTAGATATGACACCTTGTAATCAAGTCAATATCTTTATTCAGCAGCAGAGGCGCAATTTGCTGCCATTTCGTTCAGAAAGCTGCTATTCTGACCGATGATGCACGTATTGCGTCACTTCCGACAGAAATCATATCACCCAGATAGCAGAACTCTTTGACAGTACTCAGGATTTAAAATTGATTGCATTCTGATTTGAGTGATAATTCGAAGGATTATTGTATCTTGGACAAACAATTGATATTATGTTTAGGTATTTTTCTCAGGCTACTGCATTTTTATGCACCCATAGGTTACAAGAATTGCAGCGTATTGAATTTACGCCGACTCCCTACAAACAAAAAGCGCATGGATAAATTCCGGTTTTGTGAGAAATAGACTTTTGGCCTGAAATCAAATAGTTTGTCTTATCCATGTTGATTTTTGAACGCGTTTTTGCAAAACTTTGTTCCAAGTATTAATTTCTCAATAGACTGGGATTCCGTTTCAGCTGATATCACAAAGTCATCTGCATATAGCATATCCCATGGTACCAGGGAACAACAGTTTCTTCACAACGTTCAATACTCTCAAATATATATGTCTTTAAAACTCTTTGAAGTTGCAGAGCAAAAACAATTAAAACCAGATGAAAAGGAAAATTTTTTTGTTCCGTTGGGAAGTCTGAAAATTTAAAAGCCATTTTCGAAATAAGAAATCGACTACACTTGGGTCAACACAATACCAAAAAAAGGAATCAGAGCCATTTACCAAGCGTTCACTGAACCGACAATTTTTGGGTTGTCACATACTCAAATACCTGTTGTCATAGAAACTGAGCAATGAAAATTTGAAACTTAACTTGAAACACCGCAGATTCTTTTGTTGTTGTTTTTCAGTCGTCGCAATTTCACTCGGCGAAGTCACAAGTCTATTAAGGTTAAAAGAGAAAAGAGGGGTGTTCTGGGATCAATTAAAAAGATGAAGTTGCATGGTGGGAAGGACAGTATGAGGGGAAGGACAGTATGGGCAGTTTGGGGGTGGGGCGGACGTTGGGGTCAGTTTGATTGAAGTACGTAATCAGAAAGGGGCTGTAACCGGATCTCAACTGGGAAATAAATCTCCAAGTACAAAGAGGAAGTGAATCTTCGGCGGGGAAGAGATCAGGTGGTCTGAGAGCAGAACATTTGAGGATGCGGCATCTGATATGACCTGCCTAACTTCTGAAGAAATTTGAAATTATCAAAGATGAAAAAAACTTCGGACACTAAAAAGAAATGCATAAGATTATTAGTTTCATATACGATAGAGTCATTTATAGGGGCGTATAAGTCAAGCAACGAAAGACGGATATTTCCTGTGGTTGTGGGATAATAGTAACAACAAAGTAGCAAATTTGATGAAGCAAAGATTTTGAGGGCGAACTGTGACGCCAGTAGATGATCAACTAGGGCTCGCATGATTTAGAATTGGTCTTACCAAAGCTTTAGAGCTAACCAAAAAAAGTGACTTTGAACTGGCCCCAAGGAGTCCCAGATAGAGCTTTCAGGATCGATATCCTGCGCGCGGTTTTTACGGATATTCGCTCGCAATGTTCTGCGAAATTTTACGAACGGGTCGGATGTTTTACGGATGTTCGCTTGCAATGGTCTGCGAAATTTAGGAACTGGTCGAATTTAGGAACGGGTCAAGCAATTTTGGATGTTTCTCGAGGGACACTATAGCATTGTTCATTTCACATTCGTGTCGGTGTTGAAACCTTTGAAAGAGAAAAAAGGCTGGCCGAACCTTTAGAACAATGGGATAAAATCAACACTGGGCCGAAAGAGTCAAAACATTTGAGATCTTCATTTGATTTTGAAGGGTTACCAAAAGATAATTTTTCCAAATTTGGAAAAATTTGTTCAAAAAGATTTTAAAAATTTGTTTAAAAAACTTTGTTTATTAGCCCGATATTTTGAAGGTGGACTGTGCTTTGACCGTACAGTTCTACTTTTGAGGATTTTGCTACTTTGATGCTATTCTCAGTTGAAAGAGGGATAAAATTTAAAAAGCCTTCCTAGCGAAGTTAAAGGGCTTTTCTCCTAGCTGCTCTTTACGCTTTATCACCAGTGTGGGTTATCAATTGAGTACTTTAGCAATTCTAACCAGCATTAGCAATTCCAACCAACCGCTAAAAATTTCTATAATTAAAATTAATTGGATAGGTTCCTACCACAGTTGCATCCATTTAATGATGGGATCACTTTCCAGAACATCTCGCCGATCCATTGCATTAACTTAGGAAGTTTTCACCTAGTCCTCTTCGTTTGAAGCATAACAAAAAGGGTTGGATGGATTATTCTGATGGAAAGTAGATAATAAAGAGATGAGAAGTCTGATTTTCTCTTTGTCGAGCAAATTTTGTATCTTTATTGAGGGCTGGAGGAAAGAAACAAAGCCGGCCGGCGGGAATATGGTGACGTTCTTCAGCGAGTATCGTGTCTCGAAAATGCTAAAAATCTTGCTAAAAACTCCTCGCAGTAATTGATAATACTTTTCGAGTCAGCTTTAAAAAAATAAAAGTTTTACGGGAAGCGAACGGTATGTCTTTTCAATAGGAAGATTGATTAAATTTGGCAGATGGTCTAAGCCTAGCTTTGAACTTGTTTTCCACGAAAGATTTCATCAAATAGATGACGAGGCCGAGAACGTATCTGTAGATGAGGCTGACGTGTTACTGTCGTATGGTGGAGTCGTTTAGATCGTCGTTTAGTGGGGTAAAATTAGATTCAATAATGTAGGCTCGGAGTCTGGCCCCACGTTGGTGTTCGCGGACATTGGATTACCAAAGAGGGTAAAAAACATGAACTTCATTGAGGTCTTAACTGTTTTCACCAGATGAGAGAGCTGTCATGGAGGCTTTAACGTCTTTGGGGCAACTAGATGAGGGAGGGACGTAACTTTTTCCAATTTCACTTTAACTCTTGAAAAACCACTACGTGGATCTTGTACTTGCTCAACATGGCTGCAACTTTGAGTGATTTTCCAGAGATACCATTACAATTTAATTGTAGAAAGTTCAGGGCTTGGTACAGATGAGGTTTGCTTGGTTATTGGGATGTTCGTTAAGGAAAGGGGGTTTAAGTCATTAGGTCGATTAGGAATTTGATTGGTTGCAAAGGGATGTGTGATTACTGGGTAGGAATTATTAGTTGGAGGGGATTTGTTATAGGCTGGCGAGTAAAGTAAATGTTGATCGCATGAGGGGGCAGTATTAAAGATTCGGTACAAGAGTGGCAGTAATAAGCTCGATTGTGATCATTGAACTTTTTAAGACAGCTACAATTAAAATCGATCCACCCACATCGTGGCAACACACTCACGCTTGGCTCCGTAAAATTTTTTGTTTGCAAGGGGGCAGGTACAGGAGCCAGGCTTAGGGTTAATGCCGGGAGGAGGAAGTAGGATTTAAAATAATGGACGAAGCGACCCGACAGACATAAAAAGCTCCGAAACTAAAAAACAGGAGACAGCATGCTTTCCGCGCACCCCTGTATGGGGAAGGCATGGTAAACAACAGCGCGTCGGGTCCACCACTTGAAAGCGGAAGCTCCCTCTCGCAAATTCCTAAACAAAAGCATAAAAATGAATGTTTTTTTCTTTTCATACGACGCAAAAAATGGCGATTTAGCTGATATAACATAGGATGTGAGAAAATTTGGTTAATGGAGCAAAGTTAAAAAATCAGGCACTGTATTTTTTACTAATAATTTTT